TGCGGTAATGGCGCTGGATTCAGGACTCAAGTGTAGCATTCACTGAAAGACGTTTATTAACAGCCCGTAATAACATCATACAATATGGATACGGTGGCCGCATAATGCCACTCCATAACAATCAGCAAGCCTATATATAGTGCCGTAAGTAATATCAAAATGGATACTTGGGGTCAAATACCCGGTACCGGCATTCGCTGCAAAGCATAGGCCTAGTGGAATTTGAAGTTGCGCATTTCAAGGTCAAAGGGTACAATATCATTGTTTACAAAGCAATATATTGCGACAATTATGCATGTACATGGGTTTAATTGCAAACAGGAAACACATATCTTACTGAGTATTTTACGGATACTAACCATTGTCTTTTGGAAGTGAGGGTATTTCTCAATTTCAACTATATCAACCAGATAACCAACAAACAAATATACATTACTGTTTCCATGAAAAAAATATTAATATAAAAGATGCTGCCCACGCCCTGCGAGTCCGCTTCGCTCAACTCCACGCCGAAGTAGTTCTAGATATTCTTCCTTAATCCCTCTGTTTAGGGCTACTAGCTATCCACCTTGACCACTCAGTGCATGGGGTGCAAAGCTGCCCTTCGTGACTCCGCGTTTACATGTTCCTATCCTTAGATGTGTTTTTCCAAATGTTTACCTGGTCACCCTGCAACATGATAATACTCAGAGCAGCAGCTGTATATGTTTATTATTATTATTATTTATAATTCAGCCGTATTTCCGGGAAGGTTATTCATGTAGTTGGGCCTATAAATTCCATTGCCATAAATAAAAACTAGAGCTCGTGCAATGACCACGAATGTATAAAAAAGGTTCATGCACTACCATAGTTCAAGACGTGAGCTCAGCTATCCATTAGAAGACCATTCACGAAGTAACTATGTGTGTCCTTGGCAGGTAAATATGTAAATTCTAAAGTGTCGATTTATCAGAAATTTGATTTTTAGCCAATATCTCGGCCAATATTGCAGCTAATGTTGACAGAAGGGTTTTTGATATTAAAGCAATAATGATCAAAGTTTATTTTAAGCCATCATATTCAAAATAAACTGTAATATTGGCTGAAATTGAATATAATTTGGCTGAAAATCATTTTTTTTTGATAAACCGGCAATTTAGAATTTACATATTTTCATGCCAAAAACACACATAGTTACTTCGTGAATGGTCTTCTAATGATACATGACCCTCAAAACATGGGTTTAGACACCTTACTTATGTAGTTAAGTGCAATTTTGGCCGAGATATTGGCTAAAAATCAAATATCTGATAAACAGACTCTTTATAATTTACATATTTTCATGCCAAAGACACACATAGTTACTTCGTGAATGGCCTTCTAATGATACTTGACCCTCAAAACATGGGTTTAGACACCTTACTGGTGTAGTTATGTGCTATATTGGCCGAGATATGCCAAAACATGACTTTCCGGTATTAGCGGCACTAATTTGCATATTCCTATGCCACAGACACATGTGGTCACTTCCAGAATATTCTTATTGTGATCTCTGACCTTGAAAACATGGGTTTAGACACCTAGTTTGTTCAGTTATCTGCAATATTGGCTGAGATATAATTAAAAATAGATTTTTCGGTAATGGCGGCACTAATTTGCATAAAAACAATACGTGGGACATTTTTTGAATTTTTTAACATAGCAAATCGTTTTCTACGCATTTTTTCTGACCTAGAAACGTTGATTAGAAATTGATTTCCGAGGGTGCACGATACCCCCCTTTTCCGACTAAACTATTTGCGATCTGTGCAAAACATCAGAGCTGTAGGCTGCCATATTGACGGCGGACCGCTGAAAATGTATTACATTTTGTGCACCTTCGAGAACAGTTGTATGCCGCGCCAACAAGCGCTAAATTAAGTTACAGTATGGAGCGCCGACGGCTACAACAATTAATATGTTTGGCAGCAGATAAATTGACGATCGAGTACGGAACTTTACCCAAATGGAGCAAGTGACTGCAAATGAAATTCAATGTTTCAAGAATACCAGACTATTATTGGAAAATCCTCACCGATTCAACTCTCTCCAATAGCTGGACTGTGGCACCGACAGAACCGTAGATAACTGACGCGGTTCACTGCCTGGAGCCTCGGAGCCTTCCGCTTCCTTCGTGTGGCCGGCCGGACGCGCCGCGGCTGCTGCCTGGGTAGTGGCGACGGTGTCACGGTGCCGTCACCGATCGTGCCCGACCGAGTGTCGAGAACTCCGTAAAATATCTCCACTGAACCGCAGTATCATACTTAAAATATGTCCACTGAATCCCAATCTCACAATCATACGCAAAATATCTTGACTGAATCCGCAATACATACAAATACTGAGTATGATTAAAAGCAGCATAATGATAATTAAAAATTCTTTTAAAGCTAAACTTTCATGTTCGTCTTTTAAAGCCGTGACATAAAATAACACACATCTTTCAATACGTATTCCTGCCTACGGATTGGCCTAGCATTTTGGCGGCAACCCACTAACGATGATTGGCTGTCTACAATCTCAACGCTGATGGCTGCCTAGAATCCCGACTGCTGCTATAAAAAGGCGAGATATTCATACAACGTCCGCAATCGTAAGATATAAGACGGCAAGCATGGAAATTTGCACACGGCACCAAACCTATGTTTTCCGTTGAGTATAATGGATTTTATCATTTACTTGATAATATTTCTTGTACAATGTACATGCAGCGGCTGCGCTTCGCAGCAAATGAATTGCGTTAAGGCCAGATGGCGTCTGTCGATCACCCCCAACTCAACCTCGTCCCCAGGGTGTCGAGCAGTACGCACCCACCTCTACCTGCTCTCCCACCCTGGTATTGGATCATTTGCATGTGCAAGATTTTTGAACACGTATGCAATGACAGTCTGGTACCTGGATATGCGTTACACATTAGCGTTTGTTTTTTTGTATGCAGTGTCTGGGGTAAAAACAGAGTCAATTCGTAGCAGCGCAAGCACTGCGTGGGTTACGAAAACACGATTTTTGAAATCAAACTGTTACGATCTTATCAGACAACATGCAGTATCATATTTCATATTAATATGAGCAACTTGGAAAGGAAATTAGTATTTTCGAGAAGGCGTGGACGAATGATCGCGAAAACACGTACTGCACGTTGTGAATAATAGCACCAAGTACACGATAAAAATCCATTACTAGCCAATTACGGTATCCAATCAGGATACAGGAAGAAAGTTTCATATCCAGGGTTTACTATTGGAAACGCGGTTGGAAATAAAGTAAGCACCGGGGACGAGGTTGCCCCCAACTGTACTCTCTTTGCCGGTGAGGGGGTACTTGTTAATGGAGCGGATACACATGTACATGTATTATTGGCGAGCTGCGAAGCAGATGCGAGCCTATGTAATACCAATTTCCGTCCGTCTGTTCGTCCGTCCGTCGGGGCGTCTGGCTAGACCGTTCTGACCATACCACCCTTGTGGGGTGATGTTCCTTTCAGGACACATCACCCCATTATTTTCACAATAGAAAAACATCACCCCAGAAGGGAATCTTTAGAAAAGGGGATAATGGGAACACAATGCTATCACCCCACAATTCCGTCTGGCTGGAACGGACGTCCGTCCGTCCGTCAGGGCATTGGGACGTCCGCGTTCTGTCTGATAAAAATGTTGAAGTTTTTGGTTGTAGCTAACTTGGGGAAAAAATTAAATGCAGTTTACATGTATCATCTTCATAACTTCAGTTAGGTTCATAATCATTGCAGCAGTAAATTTTATTATTTTATTGAGGATTTTTAATTCAAGGAAATGTTAAACTGTTTAATTGTTACATGTAAATGTATACCGGTAAAACATGTGCATGTATACCGGTATAACATGTATAGATATACATGTATACCGGTATATACCAGTATAACATTTACACTATGCATTTTGGGGATGTCATTTCAGTGGTCACACTGACTTCCATTGTTCTTGAAAATGGTTCATCAAAACTCGCTTGAGACGGTTTATGAATCAATTAATAAATTTGTAAAAAAAACATTTTTAAAAGAAGTGTAGTTTACTTTTGAAATAAACTAATGTGAAATCTACTTGAATTGTATTGTACTGAAATTGTGTTTTCTTAAAATAATTGTGCCAATTTGTTGCCATGCCCAGTTTAACATTAATTCCAACCAGAAATTGCTATCTTGGGTCTAGTTTTTAAAGCTCCAATAAAACCCAATTGGAAAGAAAAAAAAATATTTCATGGTCAAATTAAAAGCGTTTATTTTTCCTATTTGGTTCTGATTGGGTCTAACTTGGACAAAAGTCCAATTAGGTTTAAAATCATTTGGAAAAAAATCCAACTGAATCAAATTGGGTTCAATTGGGTCCAGTTGCTGGGTCTAAACTGAGTTGGAAAAAAAACTGTATCCAATTGAGGCCAGCTGAGTCAAATTGGGTCCAAAATAAGTTGAAAAAAAAATCCAACTAAATCCAACTGAGCACAACTCAGTCCAATTGGTTTAAACTGAGTTGGGGAAAAACGTCCAACTGAGTCCAACAAAGTCCAATTGGTTCCAAGTGGTTCCAATCGGTTCCAATTGGTTTTGTGCCAATTGCCAACTGGAAAAATTCCAATTGGTTCCAATTGGAAAATTGAATTGGAAATTTTAGTTTTTAGTTAACATACTGAAATTCGTGGGAAAAGGACAAGGAATATTGGGTTAGGGCACATTTAAGTTTGAAAAGTTTTGTGCACAAGTCTAAGGAAATGTCTCCCAAAAGTCCAATCCAAGGTAATTATTATTATCACAAGTCTGATCTCGAGTAAATCACGGTTCACAAGTTCGGGATTACAGTGACAGAGGCACGCCTTTTCACAGTTCATTAGAGTAGCTTGCGTCTTAATAATTTGTAACGTTAGTCATGTGTTAGTGCTGGTCTGTTCTAAAAAAAAACTACGTTTATCATGGCTTATTTTGTGTGTTCATTATTTCCATGCAGAGTGCTCGTAAGAGGTGGGAGTTCAATCGAGACAATCTGAGTGTAGAACGGGAGAAGCCGCTAGGGGAAGGTTGGTTTGGCAAGGTGTACAAGGCACTGGCCAAAGGGATCAAAGGTCGAGAAGGAGTCACTCTGGTGGCCGTTAAGGAGCTCAAAGGTTAGATAAGGTGATTGGTGAGATAAACAAAATGGAAACATCCGAAGGCAAGACAGCATTCAGAATTGCAACTTATGTTTATACAGATTGAAAGGTCTAATTATAGGGTACTTGTCAACGCGGCAGAATTTAGAGCATGTGCTCAAGCGAGATTTTTATTATACCTGTTTTTTAGCAAATTCCAGTTGCAAACAATATTGCTGGATCGAGAAAAAAAACCACAATTTGTTAATTCCAACGATCAACAAAATTGTTATCAAGGAAATGCATCACCTTTTCACCCCAACAAAAAAATGATTACATGTATGTATTCATAATTGCCCCTTGAACAGCCTTCGTGCCTCATTCAATGCGAAACCACGGTGCTCACACAATAATTGCATACATTATTGGTATAAAACTTTGAAACAAAAACACTGGTCATTGCAGCATTTATTTTAAAGCTAACCTGAGGCCGGTAACAAGAATAACTATGGATAGGCCTTAACACACACAAAAATAGCTCGAAATGATTTAGGAAGCTGCGACCACATGTCGTAGCATATACGTCATGTACATGATGTTCAAGTCTATTCTTAACTTATAATTCACAACTACTCACGTGATCGCGACTGTCCATTGGAAAGGATTCCCATTATTTTGTTGTACGTGAGTTGATGCATGGAGCGATTTACATAGCATGTGGAACACCCAGTTTGATTTGTGTGCAGTGCCGTGCTAGCCCCAAAGCAAAATGAGTAAACTCGTTACCCAGATTGGTAGCTGGTCAGTAAGGCCAAAAAAAAAGGTCTCCGGTTTCTGGTATGGAGCTTGTCCAAAAAGTGGTGCGGCGACGCGGTTTTTTTTTTACCCGACTTTTTTGCTTCAAATGTCGGCTGATGACTGCAAATGGTGCCCGACTATTAACTTAGTGCAAATATATGGGAGTCCAGAGAGGCCACATCAAGCTTATTCTCGATCATAACCCCATCTAAAAACACGTTAAAATTGTGCAGCAGCAGGATTCCAGTCAAACCAGTGAGTTTGGCGGTTTACATCATCTTAGATTGAAATAAAAAACGTTTTCATTTTGCCGACGCGCATGGCTACGGCGACGCGCGCGCATACCAGAAACCGGAGACTGTTTTTTTGGCCTAAAGTGGATACCTGAAGCACGTGTTGTTGCGAGAGTCTAAGGGACAAGATGATTGGTTGCCATAAAGGCATGTGCTGGCATTTGTTACTAACTAACCATTAGAGAGACATGATGATTTCTTGGGCTGCTTTCCGCAACCTAAAACAGAAATATTAGATTGAAAACAAGAACATTAATAAGCCAAATCAAGGTTTTGTACGAGCAATCAATTCAGGGACAGAATGTTTGATAAAAAAACCCATGAGAGGCTGAAAGTTTTGGAATGGGGTTACATGTCGTCTTTTGTTTACCCCCCCCCCCCAAAAAAAAAGGTTCAGGGGATATGGCACATGTCAGATGCGCAAGCGAAACTTTTGACAGCAATGTTCACCTACTTGTTGAGCACATTTCCAAAATTTAATTTAATGGTTTTAAAATATCGACCTTGAAACATAATGGACAAACTAAATGGTTACAAATGCATAATTTGTCTCTAAGATATGCATTTCACGTGCCAGACCTGTTTGTCCACGGACGGCTTTATTCCATCGGCTTCACTGAGCTCTGGAGCTTGATTTGAAGCTGAATACCACTAGACTATATACTTATACGTGGACAATAGTAATGTTGGTGATTTGTATTCAAATTAGCATAATAACACTTTTCTTGCGCATTTTACAGATTTTTTTTTCTCCACGCGTGGTTGAAGAGCTATATTTCACAACATTATAGAAAAAAGACCAGGTAATTAAGTTAAGTAATACATGTAGCTTAAAATTCCTGTCAAAAGTGTTTTTTTTTTTTTTTTTTTTTTTTTTTGCACGCACCACCCTGTGTAGATGGAGCAAGCACGGAAGAGAAAGATGAATTCCTGAAGGAGCTTGCTATCCATACCATCATGAAGACACACCCTCATGTAGTGGAGCTCCTGGGTTGCTGCATACGAGACGGTGGGTCATAATACTCTAATCCTTATACAGGGTGAGTAAAAAAAAACGAAACACAAATGCCGGGACCATTGTTTTAGTGAAGTTCTGTATGTAGCACTCTCAAAATCTAGGGTGTAAAAGCACAATTCATAAGCATTCTTTTAGTACAAGAATCCTTCAAATCACTGATGTTCTTTTTTAAGTTACGGCGTTTTAAGCACAGCCACCGTTTTAGAGTTCTGTCCACGGATCACAAATAAGGTGTGCGTTTTTCAGCAAAACGAAAACAATTCACACACATCCTTTGTTTTCGTTTGCTGAAAGAACACTGAACTTTTTTGTGATCCGTGGGCAGAACCTTAAAACAGCGGTTGTGTTTGAAATTCCGTAACTTGAAAAGTACATAAGTAATTTGAATGATTATTATACTTAAAGAAAGCTTATGAATTGGGCTTTTATGTCCTAGATTTTGAAAGTGCTACATGCAAAACTTCATTTAAACAATGGTCCCGACATTTGGGTTCCGGTTTTTTTTTACTCACCCTGTACATTACAAGCGGGATGCCGTGCTTCGCGTGGCACCCGCTAGCTAGGAGCAGTGGTAAAAATTGTATTGTTTGCAGGTTGTTAAAAAAGTTGTCAGTGGGAAAAAAAATGAAGAAATTGCTTTCTCATCGTTGCATTCGTATCTAACGCTGCTGACCAGTGCCCCTTCATATTGACGTAGTACTGTCATGATTCAAAATACCCTGTAAAACCCGGATTGCGGGTCAAATCTGACGGGGGCATTTTACAGTGTGTCCTGCTGACACCTATTTTCTGCAGCCTGGTTGGTAGGAACTGATTATAATTTGCATCTGTCAGATACCATCTCGCATAGACCTTTCTTGAACGATTTTAGTAAGATCATGTTCTTCTATGTTTCTCGGGATTACCCTCCTTGCAAGGGCTATGAGTCACGGAGAAACAGGTGGAAAGTATTTTGGAACCAACAGGTTGATCACAAAAAATCTTGATATGAAACCCTCATTAATAAAAATAATAATACATTATTTGATTGAGATTCATCTCTTTATTTTTATTTTTATACATACATTTCGCTTTGAATTAATCTTTACGATATCAACTTTCAAACCTCCCGTTGTTCTCGTGTGTGGTGGTGACAGAGCTAATATGCATCATCACGGAGTATCTGTCTGGCGGGAACCTACTGGGTTTCCTACGAAGCAAACCACCCAGGGAGACCGGGAAAGACCTGATACAGCACTACCTCGCCAAGTTTGGGCTTCACATCTCCAGGGGCATGGCCTATGTCTCACAGATGGAGGTCAGTTGTCTTAAAGCCACCTATAGGAACATTTGAAATTAACCGGGAAAAGTACCGTAGCAGTCAACGTGCCAGAGACCGTTTTAAGGGTTCGTGGCTGATATTGGTTAGTCGTGATAACGCCCTCTCATGGCAGCAGGTTATCGCTGCAGCAGGTTATCGCGTGTCAAACATAACAACGTCTAACCCCTAGACTAATGCCAGGGTAGAGTGTCGCGACTCGTCTACGACAACCCACCAGTTAAAACTTTAAGGCAGCAACCTTGCTCCAGGTGCAGATAGGAACGGTATTATACCCTGTGAAATTATTCCGCCTAGTATGGCTTTGTGTGGAACAAAAACTGTCGTTGCTGGTGGTTTGAAAGATATGGTTCCCGCGGTCAAAATACAAGACCAAAAAGTGTGCATGCTGTTTCTCTGTAGCCAAAATGTGCAGTATCCACTGAGTTGAAACTTCAGTCACATACAACCAGATTTTTTAGCAATATTGTTGCTTCAAACAAAAGAAATACACACAACACATGGATGCTACGTACATTTAAATCATGGTGGATTTCCATGCAATACAGTATTGTTGTGTGTCCAAAAGTCCAGAAAAAGCAACATTCTAACTATTTTTTTTTGGCGGAATATTCTGAATTGGATTGATAAAATACATATATACATATATCGGCAACCACCTTCCAAAAAGGGGGCCGTATCATATACGACGCCTCATAGCTCCGACGCCTCATAATGTCCGAAATTGTGGACTTATGAGGTGATGGACTTATGAGGCATAAATTCCGCCTCATTTGTCCGACACCTCATAAGTACGACACCTCATAAATCCGACAATATTGACAAACGCTGTTTCGGACTTTAGAGTCGTCGGAGCTATGAGGCGTCGGACCTATGAGGCGGAATAAATAAATTGTATGCCTCATAAGTCCGACGCCTCATTGAGGCGTCGGACCCATGAGCCGTCGGGCTTGTGAGCGGACCCCTCAAAAAGTCGGCAGCAAATTAAAACCGGATGACTGGTGAGTCCTTTAAACATTCGGGCTTTTCATTACTTTTTTGTCACAACGACAATAGATCGTTCATCGTGACCTTGCCGCTCGCAACATTCTCATTAGCGAGGAGGAGGTGTGCAAAGTCTCGGACTTCGGTTTCGCTCGGGACATCTTCGGCATCGGCTGCTATCCTCGCGCCCCGGATGTAAGTTGCACTTCTTACCCAGAAGAAAACGCATTGAAATTCCTCATTCAAACGACAGGATATAAATTATACTCATACAAATGTAAGGTTACATTATCATAAGAATAGTGCGCTGGATTTGAATCAGCGGGTCGAGGACAGGTTTTCTGAATTGGTCTTGACCAAATGAATGGATTCCCCACTGCTAATGAAGTATGGAAGACAATTATTTTTTATGAACGAAATATCTTTAAACATAACAACACTCCATATACAGCTCTCAAATTGTGCTTGCTCCTAGAATAATCTACTGTTTTCATTATGTGATGAAATAATGCCCATGCTATGCTTGATGCGCACTGACAGAAGAAGCTGAACTCTCCTATTAAACTCGCAAATTGACACGTCTCAAGCATATTCATTACTTTTAATTGCATGGGTTCACTTTTTAAGTTCAATATCTTATAGTAGAGTTCATGTCTCTGCTTCAAAAAAAATAAGTATAACTACAAACAGACAGTAAGCCCCCCATGCTTAAAAAAGTACGGATATACAAACCTTAATTAAAGAAGGGTAGTTAAAACTTAGAAGATGCATTTGAGTCATTCAGATCATTGATCGATTGCAATTTTGAATTGATCTACTTTAAAAGAACTATTTATATAGCCCATCTATGCCCCGAATGATTGATGATCAAAGACAAACAAAAACTCGGAAACAAGATCGGTTATTCTTCATCGTTCAGTTATCTTTTTGTTTTGGAGGAGCGCTTGAACTCCCTCCTGTAAGAAAAATTTCACTCGATAATCCATTTCCAAAGTAAAACTGAAAGCAGTACCGTTGCGCGTTTACCCGTCTGACAGTAAACGCGCCGCCATTGTTCGGCCGCGCATTCGTGCACAAACACTGCGCGATGTCCTATCCAGTCTGTGTATATGGAGATCGTAAGTCAGTGACCGAAAGTCACACGATTTTTGTTGTCACAAATCAATGGGCACAGACCTTTTAGACCTTCAACACAGTAGGAACGGTATAACCATCTCTATTGTTTCTCTCTTCATACAGAAAGCTCCGATCCGCTGGTACGCGCCCGAGTCGATCCTAGACAACCTGTTCAGCATCAAGTCCGATGTCTGGTCTTTCGGCATCTTGCTCTTCGAGATTTCCACCCTAGGTACAGACAAAACATTTTGTCAACATAGATTTCATACAGACTGAGAAGATGAAAGTAGTGCCGTTGTCATATTCTGAGCTTATTGTGCTGTCTTAATTGGTTCATCACAGGTAATCAACAGACAATCGCAGACAATTATCGCAGACAATTCACATCGAATCACAAGCAATCTACATCCAATCGCAGACATTTCACATCTAATTACAAGTAATTTACAACCAATATCACAGGCAATTCACATAAAATCACAATCACCTCACATCCAATCACAAGCAATTCACGTAAGAACACAAGCAATTCACATCCAATCAAAAGAAATATTCATACTATCACAGGCAATTTGCATTCAATCACAAGCACCTCACATCAAATCACAAGCAATTCACATCCAATCACAGGAAACTCACATATCCAATCACAAGCAATTCACATCCAATCACAAGCAATTCACGTAAGAACACAAGCACTTCACAGACAATCACAAGCAATTAACTCAAAATCACAAGCAATTTACATCCAATCACAAAAAAATATTCATCCTGTCACAGGCAATATACATCCAATCACAAGCAATTTGCATCCAATCACAATCACTTCACATCAAATCCCAAGCAATTCACATCTAATCACAGGAAACTCACATATCCAATCACAAGAAATTCACATCCAATCACAAGCAATTCACATCCAATCACAGACAATTCACATCCAATCACAAGCAATATTCATCCTGTCACAGGCAATTTACATCCAATCACAAGCACTTCACATCAAATCACAAGCAATTCACATCCAATCACAGACAATTCACATCCAATCACAAGCACTTCACATCAAATCACAAGCTATTCACATCCAATCACAGGAAACTCACATATCCAATCACAAGCAATTTACATCAAATAACAAGCAATTCACATCCAATCACAGACAATTCACATCCAATCACAAGCAATATTCATCCTGTCACAGGCAATTTACATCCAATCACAAGCACTTCACATCAAATCACAAGCAATTCACATCCAATCACAAGCAATATTCATCCAATCACAAGCACTTCAAATCCAATCACTATCAATTCACATCCAATCACAACCAATTCACATTCAATCACAGAATGTTGGTCATTTGGGAGACATTCCCATAAACTTGTGTACACAATTTGTCAATCTTTAATGTCACCCAACGCAAATGGTACCCTATCCTTATCCAGGAATCTCGGTGTATTTATGTTTTAGACCACGAGCAATCAATCTAGCCTATTTTGGACACTAAACTTTTGCTTCCCTAATGTACGGTGTCTCCCTATGGTATAATTATTGACGTCGAAATGTCTCCAAAAGGTACCATTAACAGGTATTTGGCTAACTTTGTATAATTCAGCTTGATGACGTTAACCAGCATAATCTCTATGAAGTTCTCACTGTAACTATAATAATTATTTTGTTTGGTCGATGTGACCATTTTGTGATAAGAATGGTCTTCTTTTTTGTGTGCTCCAATCAGGGAGGGTGGCGCCCTACACAAAGTGCAGTAACGAGGAGGTCAGGTTGAAGGTGTCTGCCGGAATACCTCCGAAGAGACCGCCCAATTGCGACGACGAGCTGTAAGTAGCGCAATCATCGAGATATTGGCGCTCTATTGTATTATGCCATCAGCTTGGGGGTTTGGTCGGTATCAAATCAGGGCATAAATGATTATAGTGAGCATGCGCAAGGTATACGGCCCCTAGAGTGGTAACAAGCATTTTGAAGGACATATTGAATAAAGGGGTGATAACACCCAAAACGCTGCCACCGCTGCAATGCCATTACATATTTTCCTACTCCGGAGGTGTATACCTTGCCAAAAATCGCTATGACGATTATTTCCCTCCTTTGATACCGGTGGCCAAAATGTTTAACTGAAGCTGAAGGCCTAAAGTTATTTCATGAAACATCGGCTACAGAGTGGTGCAATGAAATTTAACCTCCATGTTACAGACAGTATGAAAAGTTTCCCACAACTCGCCACAGCTTGATCATATTATATTGAGACGTGTCTCCTGCTTGTTCTTTTTACTACTGTATTCATGTAGCTTAATGTTTTAAATATGGATGATTGAGTTATACTTGGACCCTGGACCCTTAAAGCTTAAAAAGTGACTTCTCAAATTTCGCCGAATGATATTTCGGAAAGAATATTGTATTCTCATGCCATTTTTTTCATCATGTGTTATCTCAATGAATGTCAGTTATTATATACACACATTTTGAAAAGACGTGAATCTGTGACTGAGACACATTTCCCATTATTTTAGAAAATACTTTGAAAAAGCACTTGACTCAGTCTCCAATGCTGTATCACAACCAAAGAACGGGCGTCTGGATACTATATTCTTTGCGATGTTTTAAACTACATATTTTCCCATATAATTCCTTTTTTCTAAACCTCTGGCAGGAACTTCTACATGTCACTTTGTGGTCGGTCAGTCTGTCTGTCCAAAAATAAGCCCATTATGGTTTCCATAAAATATAATTGTCAAAAAAGCAAACAAAATCAACACATAGATAACAAAAATTGTTTGTAACAATTCGGAAAGATATTTATGAAAAATTGGTAAATGGAAGCAAAATATGTGCACTAATGTTATGCCCACGTGGTATATTGCACGGTATAATTTATGGGAAACTTAAGGGACTTGTTTTGGTCAAGGTTTGGGAACATACTTGCGCAGCGTGATTTTTTACCTAGGACGGCGGCCTGGTACGCACAATCTCCGGTCAACGTGACCGTCCGTTGCACGGTGAAATCGTTAATGTGCCAGCGTGGATGAAAGTAGCCCGGCGTTGCACTTTTGGGTGTCGCACTTTTAAGCTCTGGCAGGGATCATTTCGATGGATAACGTGCAAGACAGCCAGAGATTATTGTTTCTAAAAATAATATCCACGATGGCCTGTTCTCCGCTAAAATGCTGTTAAATATGGCGTGCTTTCTTGACATTTAATCCAAAACAAGAAAAGATTTATCTCTGTTTCGGGCGAACAAAGTTAACAATTAACTCCTGTTATATGAAACCAGGCAATAGAGGTATTTAAATATTGAGAAATCTCTATTAATAATAGAGATATATCTATTCTTAATAGAGATGTCTTATTTTGGATTAAAATGTCAAGAATGCACGCCATAATTCTATACCCACCTCCCATGCACCCCCTCCAGCAGTTTGTCACACAGAAACACATTTCACGTTAAAGACATTATATTATTAACATCGTTTGACCTTTGAACTTTGACCTTTTAGCTTCAGCATCATGGCGAAGTGTTGGCAGAAGAATCCAGAAGATCGGCCTTCGTTCAGCGAGCTCGTAGATATCTTTGAAGACGTGCAGGACATGTATCCAGACCCAACGTAAGTCCTATAATACTCCGCCCTCAACGTTGGCTAGGACTAAGGATAGGGTTGGGGCAACCTCGTCCCCAGGGTGTCGATCAGTACGCGCCCACCACTACCTGCTCTCTCACCCTGGTATTGGATCATTTTCATGTGCAAGATTTTTGCACACGTATGCAAATGAGGAACAGTCTGGTGCCTGGATATGCGTGACACATAAGGGTTTGTTTTTGTATGGGGTGTCTGGGGTAAAAACAGAGTCAATTCGTAGCAGCGCGAGCACGGCGTGAGTTTCGAAAACACGATTTTTGAAATCAAACTGTTACGATCTTATCGAGACAACATGCAGTATCATATTTCATATGAGCAAATTGGAAAGGAAATTAGTATTTTCGAGAAGGCGTGGACGAATGATCGCGAAAACACGTACTGCACGTTGTGAATATATAGCACCAAGTATACGATAAAAATCCATTACTAGCCAATTGCGGTATCCAATCAGGATACAGGAAGAAAGTTTCCTATCCAGGGTTTACTATTGGAAACGCGGTTGGAAATAAAGTAAGCACTGGGGACGAGGTTGGGGTTGGGGTTACAGATTGCAGACCAGTAAATGACCTTCCATTGACCCCAATGGTAAATGCTGCCACCTCAGAAATTTGGGGAAAATACTCACAACTCTCCAAGGTTTTCGAGACACACATCAAATTAAAGCATATTTCATCATCTTTTATTTTTCTTTTCAATTTACGGGGGTCAACTGATGACTTTTAGGGAAAATTTCGATCCGAAGATGATCACCCCTTAAAATAATCCTGAAGCACATCGCCATTTTGAAAAACAACGTCTACACTTTTAGGGCCCCGATTTCATCCAAATTGAACGGAACTACAAGCTCCCAGTCCTGTGCACGGCTTCCACCCATATTTTTTTTTTACAAACCCTCTAGTACTCGTGGCCCACAGCATACTCAAATACTGAAGATTTTGAGGGGCATGCGAATCGTAATTTGGCCGGCGTAGGAAATTTCGGACCGACTCTGGTCTGTATTTTCAGGAACATGAGCAGTCGGAATATAGGGGTGTCGGAACATAGGTGTGTGACCGCATAGGCCTATTCAGTGACCGTACAATGTACGAACCTGGAGCCAGACTGCTCGCAAAGCGGATCCGTTTGTGCTCAAAACAAAGTTTTTTCAGAGGGTTGCTGACGTCTAAAAAGCGGGTGGGAGGGGTTTTGGGTAAAATAAAATATACAAGTTGAAAATCAATACAATGAATGGTTCCAAGAATATAGCATTGCATGGACAAGTCTCGCACCTGCCTTTTATAACAGTGTAGACCTTCTCTGTTATATTGTGTAAATACAGGAAAAGGACGAAGTAAAGAAAAAGCCTTCTAAAAACGAATCATGGAGTCGCAAGAAAATAAAGCCAGCAAGTCAATTGTCTGCGGTTACGATCAGCAACTCCGCCCCACCCCTCCCCCCCAAAAAAACCAAAAGAAAAGACCATTGAACTAGACCCAAGACGTTTCTGGTGAAAGAGTTTCGGAAAATATGGCCAAATTGCTTGTTTATAGCAACTGATTTTTTTTCCATGTAAATAATAAATTATACTCAGCTGATGTGTCATTGAATGAAAAAAAAAATAAGTAATGGAAAATGTTATACTTTTTTAGCTGAATATTTTATCCCTATATTTTATAAGAACGGATTGTATTTTTATATAAAAAAGTATATACATGTACTTTGAGATGTAAATACACTGTCTACGCACGGGTTTTCGTATTTCCTCAGCAATATGAAAACAATTGTATTGTACATGTACTTTAAGAGGTAAATTCGCTGTCTTAGTGTTTTCATAGTTCCTCAGCAACGTGGCTGGGACTGTTGGGTCTGCTGCTTCGAACGTTCTGGTATTGCACACGATCCAGGCACGTATCACCGTCAAGAGGCCCCTTTTAATGGAGAAACCGTTGTGCAAGCCATTGTCCAAAGCAACTGTCTCTTGACAGAGTATCTGGACAATAGTTTGCACAGTGATTTCGCCATTAAAGGGGGCCTTCGTGATGGAATTGATTATCGTCATCGTGCTGTGTGGTTAATTGGCAACTGTACTTCTTGCTTATATCGTGTACCAGACGCGATGCAATGAAAATAATCATAATTAGCCACAAAGTATACATCCAAGTATTGCATATTATTTTTCCACTTGCACAGCCTTCTCGTAACATCACAGTGCAGTCCCATCATGCAACAGTGGAAACAAATTGCAATATGACGTCATGTATTTCTCGAATGTAATGAACTTGTAATAACATTAAATACATTGAATCATTTGCTATCGGGGCCCAATTTCACGGCGCTGCTTAACAGTCAGCGGACAAAGTTGTGCTTAGTCAACCTTCAGCACTATTTCACGGCGTGAATGTGCTGAACGGTCGCGCGTGCATTGAGATTTCTATTGATGCGTCACGAAACTCAGCAAATTTTCTTCTGAAATAAGCGTGCTTTTGTTGTGCTCATGCTTACGGTCTCCAAGAAATAGACGGAGGCTCTGTTAGCAGCAAATGGCGTGTGCTTAGCAGCGCCGTGAACTTGGGCCCTGGTTCGTAAGTGCCGGACTGCGTCATACAAGCAGTGCACGCAATACTGATTACCTTTTGATAGAACACGCCACCTTTTACTGCTGAGATTTAAATTTAGATTTAGATTTCTTTATTTTCACACCAATCGTGGCCCTGAGGCCAAAATTAAAAGTGTGGTACATGCAATATACATTGGCAGCAAAATACGCATGTACATGTATGAAATAAAACAGTGGATATTAAAACACTTTTGTAAGACAAAAAACGATATTAAACGCCGGGGGCGGATCCAGAACACAATTTTTTGGGGTGGGGGGTGCAAAAAAAACATTTGGGCCCCCCAAAAAAGTGGGTCCAAAAATTACGGCGTGATGTTCGGGGCCCGCTTAAAAAAAATTGGATTCTAGATGCTCTGTGGTGCGATCTGAGGCAATTTCTGACCACTTTAACCAATGTTTTTTTTTTTGAGGAAAAGATGGTGGTGTACTCGTTGCCTGCCTTTATTGCGATGTCACATAAAAAAAAAATTGGTTTCGTTTGTTTTTTTGGTTTTTTGGGGGGGTGCATGGCCCCCTTTGCCCCCCCCCCACCCCACCCCGGATTCGCCCTTGATAAACGCCTTAATATATGTTTTCCCGGCTGATTTAACACTTCTTTCACACGAATTCCCTATATCGATACTTTAATTTCGTTCCCGAACATCGTCAATTCTCAATTTGAATTTCAAAAAGCCACCACTAGATTTCATTTAAGGTTTAGTATAATTCAAATTGTTAGCATTCCGATTCGTCCAAAATCTTTGAAATTCGTCTCGTGAAGCAATCGGCGTTTCCAAAAACGAATGCACGGACAATGAAAACCATTGAGCTTTCGTTGAATTGAAATGGGATTAAAGGCGTGCATTGAATTTCAGACGAAACCAAATGACCAATTTGCTGAAGTGAATGAACATTTGAGGAAATTGGCTGGGAAAACCTATATTATGGAACTATGGAGCAAAACAGATCTAGAGGTACCACTTTGTTGTTAGTTTGAGGCATTTTTTTGAGAAAGTTGTATTAATCAAATTTTATTCTATCTTTTATAAAAAAAACTTACAAAATTAATACACAGTAAAAACTTGAAGGAGATTATTATTATATTCTGATTATTATTAGCATTATCATTGTAGTTATTTATCAATAATTTCTGGTAATGAAACCAAGGATCCTCAAAACCACCCGAGGCACTGCACAGGATGAGTAAAAATAAAGAAACCCAATTGCCGGGACCAGTGCTTTAGGGAAATTCTGCATGTGGCATGTAAATGCTCAATTCATTAGCTTTCTTTTAGTACAAGAATCATTCAAATCACTTATTTATTTGTCAAGTTACGGAGTTTTAAACACAACCACCGTTTTAAAGTTCTGTCCACAGATCACAAAAACGTAAGTGTTCTTTCAGCAAAACGAAAACAAATCACATAGGGATGTGTGTGAATTGGTTTCTGTTTGTGAATGTCCCAAAGCACTCCTGGTTTTTTTTTCATCCATGTTTGAAATTGTAAAACTGAATGTTTGCACTACCTACAGGGACTTGCTGGTCGCAAAGATGCCCAAACTGTATGCTAAATCATTCACAACTATATTAACGATTTGTTTCTTATTAAAGAAAATAGCTATGCTTATTGCAAACTATAGTTCTGTGTTCTTCTCACCTCTGAGGTTATTTGCCACAGTTGCAACGTTTCTGAAGATGGAATTTTGAGAATACGGAGTGGTAATTTATCCTCTTTGCTGAGAAACCATCCAAAATCTCCCACTCTGCACTGTGTGATTTGGATGAACGTAACTATGGTGCCAGACTAATTGATTTTTTTTTAAAGAGGGATTGGCCCGTGTAATTTTGTGTGTGCATATAGAAATCACTCTTCCTCGCTGTTTTTCTGTGACTTGAGCACAGCTGTCCGTATCTGGGTTGAAAGTTGTAAGGTTGTAGAGGAAGACAAAACCAATCTTTGTACATGTTGGACTGAGCTTTTAGGATGAAATTACAACTGTGAATAACTAATGTGCATGTGATTTAGGCCAAAAAAGTCTTCGGTTTCTGGTATGGAGCTTGCCCAAAAAGTAGTGCGGCGACGCGGCTTTTTTTTTTAACTGTTTTTTTTTTGCTTCAAATTGGCTGATGACTGCAAATGGTGCCCGACTAAACATAGTGCAAATATATGGGAGTCCGGAGAGGCCACATAAAGCTTATACTCGATCATAAACCCATCTAAAAACACGTTAAAATTGTGCAGCAGCAGGATTCTAGTCAAACCAGTGAGTTTGGCGGTTTTGAGACATCATTTTTTATTGAAAAAAAAAAACGTTTTCATTTTGCCGACGCGCATGGCTACGGCGACGCGCGCGCATACCAGAAACCGGAGACTTTTTGTTGGCCTTATGTAGTTATGCATTAAAATGTGCCTTGAAACAACTCATAGCGTTAGGAAGAAACTAGAAAAATATAAGAAAGAACCATTTCACAAAACTTGTTTTATTTTATCAATAATATGTATGAAATACAGTGTTTGTATTTTGAGTTTGGGCTAATCTACCCTAAAAATGATTCAATTGAAACTCAGAAGCAAACAACAGACACAAGTGTTTCATTTATGAAAAATATAATAACTTCAAAGACATAATATCTCTGCTTTTAATTTTGTTAATTTTCTCAACAACTCGTATTATTGACTTAACTGTCATATCCAAGATTTTGAAAGTGCTACATGCAGCACGTCAGTGCAACAACAGTCCCGACATTTCGTCGCAGAGCTGAATACCGACGAAGAAGCAAAATGGTTGATTCGCCGGTATGTCAGCTCTGCGACGATTTGGGTTTCGTGGTTTTTTTTTTACTCACCCTGTACTGTAGCTCGCAATCCTGAAGAAACCTGTAGAGAGAAGACAACGAGAAAAAAATAACAGTTTTAGAAAATCCCGGAAGAATACCCACGGAAGCAGGCAAGGACTGAAAACACAATCCACATATTTTGCCCACGTGGGATTCGAACCCGGGTCACAGCGGTGGAAGGCGAGGGAAGCATCGCTACGCCAACCTGACTCCTCGAATTATTTGAGTAACTCAATTTAGAGTAACTGGGAGGTCACCCCCTCCCCCTCCCCAGAATGACATCCCAGGGTAAACCCCACTGAACCCGGTAGAGACTGGAACCACAACCCGTATATCATCCACAGTGGGAGTCGAACCCGGCTCACGGTCGTGGAAGACGAGGAAAGGACCATGCATATAGCGCCTTACTACTCTGCAAAACAAACTTTCAGTCGTTCCAGTAAATTTAAAAGCTGTAAATGTTGCACAGGTGTTTGAATAAAGCGGGTCAAATTTGACTCTAATGTTTTGTTTACTGTGATTCTATTTATAAGTACAGATCTCAGCAGATTTCTAGATGACTATTGTTTAAAAATGTATATTGTTAGTAATTTTCAGGGTCGAGCGGATTTACATTGTTTAATGTTCATCAAAATAATGTAAGAATGTTTGATTCACAAGAATGACACAACATTATTATACATCTGAAACAAAACAAAGCTGAATGCTCTAACCACTTGAAGTAAAATTAGTCGCTCACTGCTGTAGCTAACCATGGTTGTAGTGACCTCGGACTTCTTTGGTTAAGCGCAAAAGTCCAGCAACATCACTTGGTGATAGCTGCACGGCATCCGGCCGCTGCCTGCCTAAGCCTACCGGTGCGTTGACCGTGACCAGTCGCATTCGACTGTCGAGCCGGTGTGGACGGTAATTCTGTCCCCCGGTAAAAGTGTCCGGGGGGACAGAATTACCTAGGTAAAAGTGTTCCCCCTGTCCCGTTAATTCTATCCCCCTCCAGGTAATTCTGTCCCCTCCAGTTAATTCTGTCCCCCTGGTTTTGCACGCATAAGTTGTTATATTGATGTTATTATAATGAATTCAGCGCACAGGGTATACATTTTTAGATTTTTCCCACCCTTCATCAATGATTATCAAAATGAAATTAACGTTTGGATGTTAATCAACCGATCTATGTTTCTGCAAGAAAGCAGAAAAGGCACGCGTAGTAATACTCAACCTATCGCTAGCGCTCTCCGTAGGTGCGGTACACTCGCGCGCCCGCCCACCATGCATGCAAATCGCTCGCTCCCGAAGTCGTCATCAAAACGGGAGTTGTGTTTTGACGTATAAGCACCATTCCCGAATTTAGCCCTTGCTGCGCCGCGCAGAAACAGTTAATAAATATACAGTCTGGGTGCTAGACTTGAGACGTTGCACGGGGACACATTTACCAGGGGGACACATTTAACGTCGTGCAGGGGGACAGATTTACCTAGAGGGGGACTGGTTTACCTAGGTAAAAGTGTCCCCCCCCCCCCGAACAGATTTACCGGGTCACGACCCGGTAAATCTGTCCGGGGGGACACTTTTACCAGGGGGGACAGAATTACCTGCCACAGGATCAAAATTAAATCAAATTCGAAAGTTGAAAGCCCCCTACCCCCCCCCCCCCCACCCCCACCGCCCGTAGAACCGCCACTGTGTAGGGAGGATAAGGTTTTGGACCCTGCATAAAGGCGGTTAATTATAGTGGAGACCCATGAGACTGAACAACAGAGGGCCCGGATCTGAGGGAGGAGTGCATATACCTGGGCTTGAGGGACAAGGTGATTCATAGCCATGCAAGGCTGCATGCTGACGTTTGTTACAAACTCACCAACCAATGAACCGACAAACGGAGACACACACGACTTGTTGAGCTGCTGTTACAATCCTGTAACAATTTTACCTACGCGTGCGCGCGTAAACTCTCGCCACATGTGTGGAAGTATATAATTTATGAATTGCAGGATTTGGTCGAGCACCGCCGTTGCCTAGTGGTTAGGCATGCTGGCTAACGATCAGAGGGCTCTTTTTTTCCAAAATTTTAAGTTTTATCTTAGAAACGTTATTTTTCAGTCGGGTACTACTTGTATAGCAGCAATTTTCTTTCTCTTTTCTGATCCGAGGCTCTGGAGGATTTTTTTAAAAAGGGAAATAAAGTCCGAAATCCGTACCAAGTTGAACAATAGTAGCCTCCACTCAAGCCTGGTGTTTTTAAACATGCTCCATAGGAAAGCGCATACGTTGGCGGCGCTATTCTCAGAACAAAAATTAGGCTGGTTCGGTAAGCTGGGATACACACATTTCATTCGTTGAAAAGGGGTCCGACCTGGAGCAGTGTAACCAGATAGTTGTGTAAAAAAAAATATCGCGTCCGATCACCGTCCGTTTTTGCCGATAGTAAACATTTTAGATTATTTGCCGGGGGGCGTGCACCCCCTGCGCCCCCGCTGGATCCGCTAATGCGACTAGTTGTGCTAAATTCACGACGCCGAAAAAAATATATATATATATTCCGGGCATGTTATGTCCCTTCAGGACCACCATAGACTAGCGTTTCGCTTGGCGTACGTGGTACGTTGGCGGCGCTATTCTCAGAACAGAAATTAGGCTGGTTCGGTAAGCTGGGATACACACATTTCATTCGTTGAAAAGGGGTCCGACCTGCAGCAGTGGGCAGCACAAAGCGTGCGGAAAACGTACATCGCACTTGTGAAATATTTTGTGATTCAGTGTTTCGCCTTTCCTCACAATCAAAATGCCAAAGTAAGTACATTTTTTGAATACTTGTGTAATTAATAAATCAGCTAATAAATACAATCACGTGTTATTTAGGGAAAGAATTCCAAGTCATTACGGACGTCACTTGTGACTAATTCGGCGACCGTGAAGTGTCTGGCATGTCTGGGGTTCAATTAGCTGGAGTTACCCGGTTTCGATCCAACTCGGACCCAAACCAACTCGGACCCAAGCCAACTCGGACCCATGCCAACTCGGACCCACTACCAACTCGGACCCATGCCAACTCGGACCCACTACCAACTCGGACCCACGACCAACTCGGAACCACTACCAACTCGGACCCACAATCAACTCGGACCCACTACCGACTCGGACCCATGCATTACCAACTCGGACCCATCGTTTTCAATCATTCGACATCGTTTTCAATCATTCATTTCATAAAGTTTGTCCACTTCTCATCTGTTATTACAGTGATGCTGTTTAGTATAAATTTTCATTGTAATTGTAAGGTAAATTATCTCCTATCTGTCATGTCTGTATTGCAGCAGTATAACATTTTTGTTGTTGTAAAGCGCATTAAAATGCTATTTTGAAATGCGCTTTAAAAGTGTAATTAATTATTTATTATTTTTATTTGTTTCCATTAAAACATATTATGCTTTAAAAGTTTAACCAATTATTTATTTTCATTCAAACATATTAATTTACATCGTTTACACCATCTTGCTAAATTTAACAGCAATTTATTTCTTTTTTACTCCAAACTTCAACATAACGAGTATACAAATTAAGAACAGATCTTCATAGAAAAATTAAATTGGAAAGTATGGCATTAAAACAAACACTTTCAAACATAACATTAGAAATCAATAAATAAAATAAAGGTTCCATATTAAACAAAAAAGTTACATCAAAAGAGTATAAAAAGTTACATTTGTAATCGGATTCGTAAAAAAAACCCACAAAATTCAAAGCCAGCATGTGAATTAAAAAATGATCAAGTTTAATCCCCTACAAATAGATGCAATGTCAATTATTAAAAGTTAAACAGATTCATAAAAAAACCCACAAAATTCAAAGCCAGCATGTGAATTAAAAAACCCCAAACAATTACATGAAATGAAAGGCCCAAATAGTTATTTTAAATTAATAACTTCCTCACTGAAACAAAATGTGCCACTTAAAACCACTTGTTACACGACACAAAGGCCTGCAAAAACAAACAAGTAATTTATTTTTTACTGAAAATTATAATCCTTTGATTTTCGTTTGGAAAAGAAAATCGAGATTTTGAAAAAGCACGTATATATCAAGTTGTACAAATGACATACGATATGCCTAACCTATACTATACGCTATTAATACCTCTTGGTTTAGCTTCACAGGTCACGGTTTCAAAAAGCTAAGCACGTTTAGTTTCATGACGTTCAAAACAATAAGCGTTTAGCAACAGTATTTACTGTACGCATCATAAAATACCGCTCCACACAGCGGCAATATTACAAGAAAACAACAAAACTAAAAGCCCCATTCTGCCCAATGTAGTTACAGAATATCTTCACTTTATAAGCACTAACGTTAAGATCACCTAAAAAATATAATCTCTAAAACTAATGATTGAGTCATTGTTGGGTCCGAGTTGGTCGTGATTGGGTCCGAGTTGGTAGTGGTACCGAGTTGGTCGTGGGTCCGAGTTGGTCGTGGGTCCGAGATGGTAGTGGGTCCGAGTTGGTAGTGGGTCCGAGTTGGTAGTGGGTCCGAGTTGGCGTGGGTCCGAGTTGGCATGGGTCCGACTTGGCATGGGTCCGACTTGGTTTGGGTCCGAGTTGACCTGATACCAGTTACCCAGCCCTGAGTTTTATCATTGGGTTGTCATCTAGGGCTGGAGCGTATTTTTCTCGTAACTTGTAGTATATTCAAATTTTTTTGGAAAATGTTCAATTTTGTCCCCGTTACACACTAATTGCAACTGCAACTCACCCCAAACTTGCCTGGAATAACCATTACACAGGTCCTTCAAGTAAAAAACGATCCACGATGAAGATTCAGCCTACAATTGCAGTGAAAACAGGAGGAATAACCGCTAACTTGACAACCTTCCTGGATTGGCAAGGACCGCCATTGGTTTGTGCACAAAAAAAATTGTGTACAATGAATGGCGGTCGATTAACAGGCACAGAGAGCGATCGCTGTCAACTACTCGGTTTTGCCGGCTGCGCTGGCTGTTGGCGCATGACGTCACGCGGAAGCGTGACACCCGATGACTGTTTTATGCACTAATATAAGGTTTACCACTCGGTACTGGAACCGCAACCAATAGTGCATGAAACAGTCTAGCTATTGCACATCTCTTTCAGAACCATGTCCTTTGCAATATATTCCTCAAAACGGCGAGAATTGTTTTAAAATCTGGATAATAATAGTTGCTGAACTTGTTCCAGTACTTGACTGATAAATAAAACCAGAAATGTTCACTACTAACGGATATTTTGGCTGAAACTGAGGAGACCTTTGTTACCAACATGTCAACAAATACGACTGCCTTTTCATTGCCTCATGCATACACATTTTCTTCCTGGCTTAAACGTCGCCACCATGCGGTCACTTCAAGATATTAGGATCGTGTCCCCAACCCCACAATACCATCCGGATTGTATATGACTGTTGTATGTCATATTTTGATATATTTATTGTGGTCCCCTGCCGTGTGTGCCATACACATCTCAACTAATAGTAACAGGTAACAGTCGTCTGGTATACATATTCAGCATTGAAACAACCTTGTCTCCAGTGCTTACTTTATTTCCAACACGGTTCCCAAAAGTAGAGAGCAGGTAGTGATGGGCGCGTTCTGCTCGACATCCTAGGGACGAGGTTGGCATCGAAAATATTGGCGGTGGAAGCGCACCCGACCATGGCTTAGCACTGGTAAACAATGCGTGCTACTTAATGCAAAGTACCTGCATTGACCTGTGACATGTGTTTACACTCGACAGTCATTTCGAGAGCGCTTCAGTGTGGGTTGATAAAAACAGACCTCCAAAAATTATTTGGAAAAACGTGAGTTGTCAGTATTTTACTATTCATCTTTTCATCATTTGGTGCATTATAAGTCTATACTTCATACTGTATTAGTATAATACTTCAATATTGAATATATTATAAACTTTTTCGTGTCTGAAAAAAAATTGCCAGTTTTGCTATTGTGAGTTTCCTAGCGTTATGCATAAACATAACGCTAGGATCATCCTAGCTAGAAACAGTCATGAACTAAATAATGCATATTCATTATCTTACCCAAGCATGCTCGCAAATGCATACATTACAATGCGGCCGCCATTTTGAAATCGCATGGAGGACATTTTCAGGACGATATTTGTGGAAGATGATGACTAAAAGTCGTCTTTTGGCCAGATGGATGAAAATATTGAGACCAAAGAACTTTTTTTCGAAAAGGTATGAGTTGCTCTACGACTAAGCACCTTAACTTTGGAAATTTGTGTCCTGGATGAAAAGATAATCTCGATCAAAATCTGTAGCAAAATCGCTACATCAGCGGGCAGGGCTTGATTTACCCGGTGCACGCATGCACCAGTGCATGTAGATTTTTGCTTGTGCGTAGCTTTTTTACTGAGCATGCACGACGTGCATGTAACTTTTTTAGCCACCAAAATACTCATTTCATGCATATAATCCAGTGAGTGAGAATAAGAATAAAGTTTGTTGAATACTTGACCAGATAGTGTACAAACGTGTTTTATAAATCCATAAATCCATAAATTATTCCTCGCACCATGCTCGCACAGTCGCAGCAGATTCAGAGTACGAGGTAAAATCTCGACGTACGTCCTGCAACCTCCAATCATGCATGTGATTTACCACGTGATACATGCTGCGGATAATTTGGTATCGCACTGACGCTCCGGGCATTCCTTATGTCCGGATCATAAGTACGATTCCAAATTATTAGCTGCGTTTATCACGTGGTCTCATTATTGGCCAATCAGACGCCCCCTATCATATGCGCCACATGAAGCAGACGGGTAGCTCGGAGGGCTCCGATAATTTTGCACGCAAATGACCCTGGTCACTTGTCAGATTAAAATCCAATTATGGTGCATGTGGGTTTTTCTTGGTGCATGTAGGTTTTTTGGTCTACATGCACCAGTGCATGCCACTTTTTTTTTGTAAATCGAGCCTTGTCAGCGGGGAAAAAAATGCAGTCTTTGTGGAAGCATTGAGCGTCTGGCCGTACCACAGAGCTTGTGATAGTACTGTACGGCCAGACGCAGTCGGGCTAGTGTTAGCTAGGCCTAGCTAGGATGTTCCTTAGCGTTATGTTTATGCATAACGCTAGGAAACTCACAATACCAAAACTGGCAATTTTTTTTTATAATATATTCAATATTGAAGTATTATACTAATACAGTATACAGTTACCCAGCCCTAAATTTTATCATTGGGTTGTCATTTAGGGCTGGAGATACATGTAACTGTTCACGTAACCGAGCAGCGTAGGCAGGTCCCAAAAAAATTGCGAAAATGTTTGGTAGGTCCAATAATTTTAAAGTGGATTTTGTTCCCTTAGGCCTATAGGAACCGGGCCCTACATGTACACTACACGATCGCCAAGATATTTGTACTGTAGACTTGCAACCGTTGTTAAAAGCCCGCGGTTTTGTTCACTTCGTAACACACCAACCGCACAATGCGCAACTGGAATGGAACCTTTTCGCTTGGGAGTAATGGCATCGGATTTTCACCATTTTTGCCAAATAATGAAATTTGTTTGGTGCGGGGCCAAAATCACGTGCAGGCGCTGACGAAAAACTAGTAATTTACTTTCAAAGGCCTTAACTAGTGGAAGTGAAAAGAACAATTACATAAAGTGTGTTTTATCTGCTCTGTTTTATTCAAACAGGTATTATTGTGACTACTGTGACACCTACCTCACGCATGACTCGGTGAGTAGCAGACTTGATCATGGAACCAGTCTAATTCTGTGACATACTTTTGGAAGATTAGTAATTTAAATAATACTAATAAAAAAAATAGACTGGAGCGGAGTTGAGCCTGCAACCTCCGGATTGCCTTTCCGGTGCTCTACCAACTGAGCTATCCAGCTCCGTATGTGAGAGGTTCCCCATTTTGTCTTTGTTTAAGGGGCGCTAGTCAGAAGCCATGAACCTGTTTGTGCCAGTGCTTAAAGGTACAGTCCATCATTTGTAATTTGTGCTTTTTGTTCATTTGAAGCAACAAAATTGCTCATTATCTAAAGAAGGGTATTGAACAACTAACCTGATGAAGTTTCAGCTCAGCTTCAGCTGTAATTTCGAGAAAAAACAACATTCTAGGATCTCGATTTCAAAACAAAAGTTGCTGAATCATGTTTTGAACTGGGCTTGAATTCAGCGTCTGAGACAGGTTCTCACTGAGCCAATTGCAGCTACGCGATCCGACGAATTATAGCAACCGCGCACGCTTGTGCGTCGTGTCAACGCTTGCGTGCACTTCGCCGAAGGAAAAAAACGAACTACTAACGGAAATTTCCAACTGTGCGTTTTTAGACGCATCGTTTGAAAGTCCTTCTTTTGTTGATTTGTTCAAAATGACAGCATGCCAGAAAGAATAACTTTACAGGGAGTTTAGTTCCCTTTCTATCTTTCAACCAAGTACGTTTTTTCTACAATAATTACGTCAGTTACTTTTTGGATAGCTGCAAATGATGGACTTCACCTTTAGGTCAGACCCCAGTAACTTCATGGTACAAGTAATTATAAGGAAAGAGGGTTTGTAAATAGCCTGAATTGCAGTGTTTTTGGTTTCCTTTTCTTGTTTTTCTTTGTTAGCCGTCAGTGAGGAAAACACACTGCAATGGCAGAAAGCACAAAGAGAACGTGCGGATCTACTACCAGAAATGGATGGAGGAGCAAGCGCAGAGTTTGATCGACAGAACAAGTAAGTGGGATGTAGCTGGACCCAATTTCACAGCTCTGCTAAACAGTTCGCAGAAAAGTGGAGGGGTGACCACTGCCTCAATCCTTCTAAATCCTCCGACTCACTTTTGCACACTTTTAGCTGTGGGGATGATATCCTGAAGCAGTGCAAATGATATCTAGAATAATCTAGGCATAATTTATTTAAGACATATAAAACATAGACAACGCATGGTTTACCTTAAGACCTTAACACAATGCATCCTCTAAAATGAACTGGCACTAAGACCAAAAAAAAGAGTCTCCGGTTTCTGGTCTGCGCGCCCGTTGCCGTAGCCATGCGGGTCGGCAAAATTATTACTTTTTTTTTTCAATGGACATTTGTAAGATGATGTCTCAAAACTGCCAGACTCAATCATGCACTACCCAATCATCAACACTATGATCCAACACTATGATCCAAATAACAAATACTTATTGGGAATATTGGCCCATAACCATCTCACAAGCCATTAGACAGCTGTTTTAACCCTTACTCTCTGAGGGTAGTTTACTGCATGTCAGTTGGTTATGCCAATGCCCTCCAGCTGCAGTTTATTGGCAGATAGTTTTATTTAACAGTGAAGGCTCCAATTGGCAGGAGTTGGAGGCCCTGGAGGGTGCCTGATACTGACCAGCTGGGGGCACTCACTTTGTTATCAGAGGACTCTCATTGTTCTCTGTGGCATGTATTGGAGTGCCTGTCCAGTTACCCTTGAAATGACATGGCAGATATTGGAGGGCCATGCAAAAAACATAGGAGATTTTCTTGAGGCACATATTGGCATGCGTTGGAGGGTCTAGTAGGGTAAGGGTTAAAGAAAAAAGGCACATTGCTATTCCACAATTCACAGATGTCTATTTCTCCCTTCTCACCAACAGCGGCCGCATTCCAGTCTGGTAAGATCCACCACAACCCCTTCAATGAGGGGGGCGGGCCTGGCGGGATGCCCCCACCCCCGGGGGGTGCCGCCGTCCCCCCTCCCTCCAACTACGGTGGACCAAGAGGGCCCATGCCACCCAGGGGTCCCCCCATGGGCCCGCCGATGATGGGCGGACCACCAGGCCAACGCCCGCTTATGCAAAACCCACCAGGCCTGATGAGTATGGGTCCCAGACCGCCAAGTAAGGAACCAATCTAAAATCATAGCTTAAAGGGGCACTATGTCCTGAAATCCCCGAAAATTTCATATTTTGGATTGTTTACTCACCTATTTCAAACATCTGGTTGAAAAGAAACCAAAACCTAATGTCTTACCGTTCTCAAGAAAAAACGGAAAAAATCTGGTTGTTTACATCGGACACGACAGAGTATGAATATGCTTTTCCTGTTGTACTCAAGAAAAGACGGAAAAAACCTGGTTGTTTACATCAGACACGACCAACGACAGAGTATGAAAACGCTTTTCCTGTCGTTTTTTTAGTCAATGTACGATATACACGTTGTGTGTGTCATACAGCACCGTGCTTGCGAACAGCGGTGACCAATGACCAATGCACAAAATGTGGTTTCTTACACGTCCGCAAGAGGCAAACATTTTACGGATGAAATCACAACTAGCACCCAAACAGCTCGACTTTTTTAGGGTCGCAAAAGTTGATCCCAAAAGTCGTTTTAGCACGCATAATACAGGAATAACACAAAAACGTCCAGTTTTTAAAGGATAGTTGTGTGGATGTTTATATCCTACTTTTGAATATTCTTTCCGATTAACATTATTTCGTTCAAAGTGCGTTTTGTAGCCCAATTGGGCTGTTCCAGGACCCAGTGTCCCTTTAACCCTCCTATGCAAACATACGTTCTGTGCCGAGTCGTCCTCTCAGTCAAAATTAATCAAGTGACTGTTTTCAACAGTTAAAGGGAATAAACGTGTACATCATTTGCAAACATCCAAAAAAAAACTACCGCATTATCAAAAAATACCTAACTGGACTGTTAGTGAAAGCATCCTGCAAAATGGTGCTGACGTTTTCAAGAAAAGTGGTATTTTTTGTATCAATTTCCAACACTGGTCAGCCGACCAGCGTTGGAAGAAGAGTTCCCAGCCTACATATTAAAGCAGGATTGACTGGCTGTGACTGTTGATACAGTTATGCTGTGACTGTAGATGATGGATAAGCCAGCTGTGCGCACAACCGTGACAACTGGCCTGCTTTTGTCTGTTGACTGAATGGCCACTATGGCCTGTGCCCATTTCCGTCTCATTTTACTAGAGCACCTCACATTTAAAAAAAAATATTTTAGCATTCCTCAACTTCAAATGTTTCTTATTCTCTTACAGTGATGCCACCCATCGGACCGATGCCCCCAGGTGAAATGCCGCCCCCTGGTGGACTACTCCCCAGACCTGGTCTGCCCATATCAAACGGACCATCCTAATATATTTCTGTAATCGATGCTTTTTAGCCATAGAGCTATATTAAACAGGCATGTAACTTTTCCTCGGATCAGCTGATTTCCTCTTTTTTTACTTCCCATGTGTGTCATTGAAAATAGAAAAACACTGTACAAAGTCTGGGAAAAATTTGAATTTCCTCTTTTTTGTGATTTCCCAGTTGCATGCCTGATTAAATAACTAGAGCGCTGACTCGACGTACAAAGTGATGCCTGCTGGACGCATCCATGTTTGTAGACAAACCTATGGAAAACTCGAAATTTTGTACGGCTTTTGTACGGCAATTTATCTGCGTTTGTATTCTATACCGGTGCGTTATCAAGCCGATAAGCCCAAAACTGAAATGCGCAATCAGTAAATGAGCGTTTCGCAAACAACGCAAATGCGTGCGCGTGTCCGCTGCAAATGATTTTTGCCGTGACATTCTTTAACCGTCATGACGCGCGCTTAAGTTGTTTGCGTATGTTGTACTTACACTTTCCAAATTCACCCATCTTGTTTCGCTATGTTTCTACAAACATGCACATGAATTCAAAATCTCTGCACCTAGGCGGCTTCAAAGTATCTCCGCACCGCAAATGAGGAGTTAGCGCCGAGTTATTTAATATAGCTCTATGTTTTTAGCCATACACATTTCATTTGTGAGTTAGGAAGAGTCTCATATAAATCTGGAATGCTTTGATTTATTTAACTGGCAACAACACTGCTTGCTCTGCTATACCCTCCTAAACACTTCAGTTGACGCTATCAGGGCTCCCACAGTCTTAGGAAAAAAATCCTGGAAAATCTTGCAAGTTATTAAAAGCTATCATGGAAAGTCATGGCAAAGTCGTGGAATTTGGTTATTTTTCCAAACGTCACGGAAAGTTGATATTCCAAGAAAAAGGTCATGGAATCCTAATAATAAGCCAGTTGGGTATTCTACCGTAACTGCACATGTGCACATCAGAGCACAGCGAAGTGTTTTTAGGTGGCTTGTGTGTCCCAACTTTTATGGGAATGAAAGTTTCCATCTCTTTTTTATTGCACAAAAAATCACACAGAATGCAGATTCTGTTACCACGCCCCCCACGTGTGCATTTATCTACCATGCTTATCCCAACAAAAATTGAAATACTGAACTCACTTATTGGCTATGGCAATCTTTAATTTGGTAAATACAAAAATGAATGTTTGTGAGTGCAATGGAAAGAATAATTTCAAGAGGTGACTGATGAAATGTTCCATTCCACGAGGCGAAGCCGAGTGGAATGGAACATTTCATCTGTCACCTCATGAAATTATTCTTTCTATTGAAATTATTCTTTCTATTGCACGATTGTAAAACATTCATTATTTGTTTTATATAACACCTGAATAAATCCTCGTCATCTGATTGGTTGACTTTTAATAGCCACTTTATTCAGGTAAAAAATTGTTTACTAGTTTGACAAGTTCAGAGTTATCATATTATGCAAACTGTTCAACAGGTTGAGAACTATAATATTCAATTTATCTCACCTTAAAACTTTTCCATAAGTTTAGAACTCAAACAGTTCAATAAGTTCAGAACTTTTATTGCCAATTTAAATACCACAGCGCCACCTTCGGCAACATGTGCAGTGACAGTGCAATGGTACTTCTAATCACAGTGCACTGCGCGTTGCGCTCCACGCGCGCGCCGTGCATTGGTACGAATAATTTGGTACGAATAATTCAAGACGTGATCAACGATCCACCAATCAGATGACAGGGATTTATTCAGGTGTTGTATAATCCAGTTTATTACACTTCATCTTTAGATACATGCTGTATACTTGTTGCAAGTTCAGTGCACCATTTTGATGCTTTTCTGCCAAACTGGAAGGCTGCAAGGCTGCAAGGAAGTGGCGTCCCTTCCAGAGCAATAGGCTCCCAAAAATGGCAAAACAGCACAGAAATTGGTTGTGGAAAGCCTCAATTTTCGCCCGTCTCAAGTCATACCCGGGACGAGTTCTGACAAAGTTGCGGACATTGCATCGAGGAAAAAACTCCCATGGTTCTGAACAACTTCCCTTCAAATCTTCCTGCAATGAAGTCATCAGTATTGGCAAGTCAAGCAGTTGCTGATGAACATTTCCCCAAGAACATGTCCAGGACAAATGCAGAGCTTCTTCCAGACAAAGTGAATGATTCTACCCGCAACTTGTCCAGAACTCGTCCCTGATATGAATTGAGACGGGGCCCCAACTCTGAAACTGGTGTGAAACTTTAATCATATTTTACTTTTACTTTTTGTCCATGTACAAAAAATGAAATAATAGCGAAATTTCAGGTGAAATTTGCTGAATGACTATCTTGTGTGTTTATACACATGATATGAAACAGTTTCCAATTGTTTTAAGTATCTTTTAACAAAAGTGAGTCACTTGAGATTAATTTTTTTTTTTTTTTTTTTAATATAAAGTTGTTTGTTTTTGTTAGTTGCTAGTAATTTGTAAATAAATTGAATGTGTAGTTGTCTTGGTATGTGTACAGTCAGCATTTTGAAAAAAAAATAAAACAACCATTTGGAGACAAACAATTTTTTCAGGAATGTTGTTTATGTTCTGTTTATCAATACATGTAGTTGAATTGTACATTTGTGACCGGACTCCAGAAAATATGAACAGTTCAGCTATCATCCCGCAAGAAGTTTGGCCATGTTACAAAAGTTTCAACAATTGAAGTTTTTATTCCCAAAACACGATGTGACGCCACTTTGATCCATTTTATCTCCTGGCTGCCCAAAGGCAATTTTGACGGCTGTTATCTACTTAAACGCAACTCGGGAATACAATAAGGCAAAAAATGGAAGTTTAAAGACCGCTGTTCTTTTAAGTTTCATAACCTTGCAACATCGTCACTTTTTTATTCGGATACATGTATGTCGCGTTTTGGAAATAAACTCTTACATTTTAGTTTACACCAACTTTTCACACGAATTATGAAATACTTGTACTAGATTTTGTTGAAGGAGTCCTTTTTATAGCAACAAAAACACTTTCAAACTCTTGTGGGTTCATGAAATCGAGGAAGCTAATAATAATAAGTACATGTATAAGCATTTTTAGAGCTCTCTGACACATAAGGTATCACAGCGCTTGACGGCAAAGTAAGTTGCAGAAGCAAAGACTCGTAATTGGTGGAAGCAGTTAATAATTGAACAGAACGTCTTGAGACAGTTCTTGAACCCTTGAAGTGTTTGTGCTGAGCGGATTTCCCTTGGAAGACTTTTCAAAACCAGTGTATGTATAGTAAAATACCGGTATGAAACTTGCTAATTAACAGTTTAAAGATTTTTACTTAACAACTATTTTTTTTTTACATGAACCCATTTATGTCAATTGAATCCAATCAAGTTTGAACATGTTAGTTTGGCATTAAAACCTGATAGTTTAAAATAAATATCAAAATTGTCTGCCAACAAATCATTTTTTTTAAAATTATATCTTTTTTATAGTCGTCAATTCGCACTACATAATCCAGGTTCATATCCCATAGCAGCAGTCTTGTAGGACCCAAGTCCAGGACTCGGGTTCGAGTCCGTTTCAAGTTGCAATTTCTGTGACTCGGACATGACTCCAGTCACATCACCAAAAGACGCGCACTCAGCCTCGACCATCATAAGTCAGACTTCAATCAAATGATTTGTGATTTGGACTCGGATTTGACCCAAGTGACTCGAGACTCGGACTCAAGTGACCCAACTTCAACACTGCACACCAGTCCATTTCTTTAGTCAACCTAAGATTCACTTCTTCTTGGACGACTTCTTAGTTCTCTTCTCCTCCATCTCGCCCCGTTTCTTCTCCAGTTTCCTCTCCAGGTGTGCCCTGCGGGTTGGGTCCACCTTCCTCTCCTTGACCCCTGACCCCGCCCTCACCTCCTTCTCCCTGTGCACCACTTTCCGGGCGTGGGCCCGCGCCATCTCGCCGCAGCCGTGCACCTCGGGCATGTTGTGACCGAAACAGTAGCGGCGGTTGCAGAACGCGCAGTGCACGCCCGTCAGCGTGATCTTCTCCTTGCACTGGATAAAGTTACAACGGTTGTCAGACTCCATTGCTACGGCAATCAGTTTATCAAAATCCTCTTCAGTGGTGTTCTCCAGGGCGTTCCGTTGCTTCGTCTTGTCCATCTTCTTCTTCGTCTTAGAGACCTCCCGTAGGCGTCGCTTCTCTTCCATCTTTTTCTCGCAGTGGATCTCGTGGAGAAAGACGCTTCCGGAAGGAAGTTTCTTCTTGCAGAATTGACACTTGTAAAACTCACCCGTCCCCCCAGATGTGGTGTTCGATTTCTGAGGTTCTGTTTTCTTGGGTGATATTGAATCTAACTGACTGTTTTGATCCTCATCGGTTCTCACTCCATTGTTCAGTGTGTCGGTGGTGTCATCTTCAAAGTTCCCTTCTGCATCTTGGGATAGTACGTTTGCCTCCTCTAGGCTTGTAGCACCAATGACATCCATTGGGTTTTCTGTCCTCATTTCCTCAATGACAGTATCGATGTGTATATCGGCAAGCCTTTCCTCTGCAGCACTTGCAGAGGCGTTTTCCTGGGCATTGTGAGAATTGGTTTCCAACTCTGGAACGCCAGTCCTGATTGGCTGTTTGCTGACGGTGATATGTCTGTCTTGACCATCCCCTGTGCTGGAATGGTGCAGGCCCAATGTTTCGGCAACCTGAAAAATCAATTATGCAGAAAACAATGAGCAAGTCCCAATGGATTCAAAGGCAAGTTATACAGTTCTTGCGTGCCAAATTACTGGGGTCTGAATCCAAGTACCCAGAAAGGCGACAGACAGAGGCAAGTTTGATTCATGAGTATTCCAAATTGGTATGTCGCTTGAGCCAAGCTGAGGTCTGTCTGTTTAGGGGCCACTTTCTAGTAACTTGAGGACAAGACACTAGACAGTTGTGTTTTTATCAGTCGGTGCCCCCAATGTCTACTACCACGGTGTAGTGTATCATAGTTTATATCATGGTTATTATGATGTTGCGTTTGACATGTCTAGTGACTTGACTATAAACATGATCTGGGCTATCCCACGATAACGGCTGAAAAGTGGAAATTGTATGAAATCTTCCAAACTACAAGAAACACAACATCAAATGTGGTGTCAAATTAAAGGGGACAACAAGATCTTTCATTTGAATGGTGTGCCAATGAGATGGAATGTATTTAAGTACTGGTTTGAGTCAAAAAATGGGGGGGGGGGGGGTTTGGGGGCTAAATTCAAGGATTTTTGGTAGTCATTTCGGCACTTTGTTTTAACATGCAAAATGTGACTGTTATTAAAGAGTTTTTGTGCTTAAGGCAGAGAGAAAGGTTCATATATTATCAGAAAAGAGTTTCATTATGTTGCAGTTCATCAAACTCAGATTTTAAGCCATGCTAGAAACCATGAAGAGGAAGTAACGTGAGTGACGTAACGTGAGTGACGTTACCTCCCTGTAATCTAATGTCCATTGCATCTAAAATACACGCTTATTTGATTCAAAATGGGTTTTTATATCTAGTTATGGGTTGAATGGAAGGTAAAATAATGTTACTTCTAAGTTGCAGACTACAGTTTAGGACACTGTAACAACAAAATTGCAGGACAATTTTCCATGTCCTTTATTTTTGGTAACGTGAGGGACGACCAACAAAACACATGTTTTCAAAAAGTGAATGAATGGATTGAATTTTTCTTTCCATGTTTGAGTACCCCTTACCCAAAAGTTGTTGTATGCCTGGTTTGATTCAGCTTGATCAAATACTTATGAAGCAATGAGAGGTCAAAGTAGCCTCACAGCATGTAAATGTAACGTGAGTGACGGTGGAACTGACCCATCTACGTTCTAGTGGCGTCCAAACATCAACAATATTCCCCCACGATACAGGCCAGTAAATAGGCCCAAAATTGACTGCATCGGCCAAATCACGATTGAGAGGCCTTGCCATGAACTTGAGAGTTTGTAAACAAAAAAGTTGGAAGCCGTAAACAAGATTGTGAGCTGGAATTGAAATTGGACGCTAGAAAATGCTCTCCTGTGAAAAGGAGCACCCTATGTACATGTAGGCTTTGTTTTTTTGAAAAAGGCGATGGAATACTTGAAAACCTGAAATGTACATCATGTCTCAACTTGGTGGTCCACAAAAGTCACTGTGTACATGTATGTACCACATTTCGGAAGGATCAGCCGCTCCTAATGAGTCTGAGGTTGTCATTCGAGTCCAAGTCAAGAATCTTTCATGTCTCACCTGATGAACAACTAAGCGATCGTGGGAGTTCAGGGTTGGGGGAAAAGCCAGATGGTCTCTCGTTTGATCCTCGGCAAATCTCTGCACTTGCTCTGTGAGCTCAGCCTCCTTCTTTGCTGACGCTTCCCTTTTTACAGAACGGTGGAGAAAGAGAAATCAGACTGACGAAAAAGGGAAAGTGACGAGGGGGATGTTCGATCAATTTTAGGTTCAACAAAGGAAAATGATGAAAAAAAATTATGATGTTCTACATCTACTATCTCACATCTTGCATCTCACATGACATGAAGTCATGGTGGACAAGGGTTCATATTTGTACGAGGTTTCATCTTCATCCCTTGAACCGTTGGAAGAAATTCTGTTTTTTGTTTCCCTTCTATATCGACACTTCTTTTGGTATTGACCTTCTGGTATGGTCATTTGTTCATGAGTTATGATTGAAACTAAAATCACATGTAGTTTAATACAGGATGACGTCATCATGACTAGACTCACAGTTGTGTACAAGATACGAGTTGCGAGATACGAGATGCGAGATACGAGATGCGAGATACGAGATGCGAGATACAAGATGCGAAATGCGAGATATGAGATGCGAGATGCAAGATTAGAGATGCGATATGCGAGATGCGAGATATGAGATGCGAGATACAAGATGCGAAATGCAATATATGAGATGCGAGATACAAGATGCAAGATACGAGATACGAGATACGAGATGCGAGATCCTATATATGAGGTGCGAGAAACAAGATGCGAGAAACAAGATACGAGATACGAGATGCGAGATACAAGATGCAAGATACAAGATGCGAGATACAAGATGTGAGATTCAAGATACAAGATGCGAGATCCGATATACGAGATGCGAGATGCAAGATATGAGATGCGAGACGTGATATACGAGATGGTAGATGCTAGATACGAGATGCAAGAAACCAGATGCGAGACAAGAGATAAGAGATACAAGCTTCGAGATGTTAGAAACGAGATGCGAGAACATTTTAGGCCTACCCCATAATATTTACGGGCTAGAAATGTGAATGTTTACAAACCTTGTCTTAGCGTCTGGGATGTTGTGGTATCTCTCCTTGGGGCGAGACTGCTTGGGTTTAGCCCCCCTGTCTTTCCTGACAGACGGTTTGCTCTGGCGGAACATGAGATAGTCAGGTCTAGGGACATCACTGCTACTCACATCTATTTCTGTGAATGACAGAAAGAAACAATTAAAGCGATTATGTCACAGAATGTTTAAAATGCAGTCCTTTTAATGCACCTTTGTGTCCCATTTATCTTTATTTTCAATATTCATATTGCCCTTTTTCAAGGGTGTTTGGGTGCCTCTTTGATGCCCCCAAAACTATGACGTCATTTTAGGCAGAATCTTCATGTTAGAGCTGCAATTCAGCCTCAACAGTTTCAAGAACGTTTTTTTTTTTTGGATTTGGTGATACATTGTATCAGTGAATTAACCAAATTTTATCAGTCTATAAATGTGACCTGTTATGTCAAAATCAGACTTTTCTGGACATAAGGTCAAAAATGAGATTTTTGCATATTGTTAAAATATGTTCTGTTTCCTTTTAATAAGTGGTTTAATTTTTTAAACCGGTCATTCTTGCGCAAAGTTATGCTAGTTTGAAGTTCATTGGGTCGAAAAGTAGAAAACAGAGAAAATGGACACGAACGTCACAAAACAGACATTTCTTTAACTGATATACCTTAATAAATCATCAAAAATACTATCATTAGAGATCAAATTAGGGTTTCAAACTTTTATAGTATATTTTAGACATGCTCAGGATTACAAATATGCAAAAATTAGAAAATGAAAAAAAAATTACCCCCACAGCGTTTTTTGGCCCTATCTCAATTTCAACCTCTGCCCAGAAGCGTCTGCTTTTGACAGAACCAGTCACAAATGGTCGAGTACATCATTTGTCATTTGTGCATTTTTTTCTTCGTTTGAGGCAACAAAAGTGCTCAAATCTAAAGATGGTTGCTTAACAACTAACCTGATGAAGTTTCAGCTCAGTGAATGCTGTATATTCCGAGAAAACAATAATCTAGAATCTCAGTTTCAATTCAAAAGTAGCAGAGTCATGTTTTGAATTGCACCTAAAATCAGCATCTGGGACATGTTTTCATCAGCTGATTGCAGCTACGCAATGTCACGCACTGAACTGACGAATAATAGCAACTGCGTGCATGTGTGCGTTCCGTACATGCAACCGAAATAAGTGTCCTGGACACGTTCTCATAGCCGATTGCAGCTGTGTGATGTCACGCACTGAACTGACGAATAATAGCAACTGCGTACACGTGTGCGTGGTGTCAACGGTTGCACGCACCCATTCACAGATTCGCCGAATTACAAACAAACTACTAACAGACTGCCTTTTCAAAAAGACAGCATACCAGAAAAAAATAATTCCACAGGGAGTTTCTTGGCATTACTAGCTTTAAACAAGTAAGATCTTCAAACAATACTTTCCGTCAGTTACGACTTCTTGGAAAGCTGCCAATGGTCTGCTCTAAAATTCATGCACAAATGTTTTTCCGTAACAACAATTTTGGTTAACCCCTAAAATGTAAAGTTTGTGGGGATTATTTTCAGCCTACCATCCTGATACTGAAACGCACTCCTGACCTCCCCGTTCCGCTCCATGTACTCCACAAGGTTCCTCAGGAAGCCATGATGGCGGACCGTGTCTGAGTCGCAGACGACCGCAACGTGGCGGCGAGCTCGCGTGACCGCCACGTTGATCCGTCGATCCTCAGCTAGGAAGCCAACCTCCCCTTAGAAGGAAACAAAAAATCGAGTTGTACAAAAAATCAAAGATGGTACTATGAATCCCCTGCTTGTTAGTCTGTAGTCGACAACTGTTTCTTAACCAGTTCGAGTCGGATGACGTGTGATCACGCAAAGGTTTTGCGGTATTTGGAACGGATGACGGATAAACATGCAACCAGCAGGGCTCGAAATAAATGTCTGCAACCCGCTTACAGCGAGCGAGGCCGGAAATATCAGACCTGTCCTACCAATCGCTAAATTACAATTCACCTTTTTCTACTCACTCATGGCTCTGGATGTTTTTTTTTAAAAGGGAAGTTAAGTCTGAGGACCATTCCATTACCGACTAGGCCCATTTTGTGCTAACTGCGCTAGCAGAAAAATTCTGTGATATAAGCACAGAATCCTTAGCTACGGGATGTACACAAGCGCAAAAGCCAAAATTCATCTCTATCCTGTAATGTCTGTGATGACTTGTGAATACTAATGATAGTTTTTCAATGGTTTGTACTAAAAGCCCTAACTCCCTAGGGGATGTGCAAAATCGTATTAAAATTGACGGATTCAGGACTGTTAGGGCAATGTTGTGCAAACTTGACCCGAAACTGACCCTTCGGGTCTAGTCGGTTTGTTCATCATTTTCGTTGCGTTGGGTCGGTTTGGTTTTTTTCCTTTTGAGATCTTTGGCTCGGGTCGGGTTGGTTAAGCCATTTTGCTAAAAACCCAAAATAAACCAAAATTATGATATCTTGTTTTGACTAACAATGATTTACAATAACTGTATGACCCCTACCTTTGTTGTTTGAGCGTACTAAGGAGATGACCACGGCTTCCTTCTCTCTCCCTTGGAAGCCATCAACTGACTTGATCTCCAGCTGGGGATGCCTTCCACTCAGACGCAATCGAAGCAGCTCAACCTGTTGGAAGTCCCAAGAGACAGTTACCATGCAGAACCAGACGTTCACACAGATTTGGCAATTGATTGTGCAAGATAGGTGCCTCTTGATCTTCCAATTGTGAACAATTACTGGGCATGTATCTAAGCAGGTCAATGACATATTAACCCTTACTCCCCAGTGTCTTTTACTCAGCACTGGACCAATTCCGCCAAAGTCCATCACTGACTCTGCTTCACATAATGCTTTAGGACCAAATCCGCTGAAATCCACCACAAGACCACCACTACTATAGGTGGATTTTGATGGACTAGGTATTCATGGCTTGCCCACCAAAATCCCCAAAATGGGAAGGGGGGGGGGGTTGATTTTGAGTTGGGCAGGTTTTAATGGAAAACATGGCACATACATTTTTGATAGGTGCTGCTGCTGCTTTCACGATTGTTGGAAAACAAATCACAATTCTCTGATGTGTATAAATTGCTGCATTGTGTCTACAGTAGGGTCAGGGAACCAGACAACGAGAACAGCATTTTTTTTTCTTGGCTTTTCCAGCATCTATGAATATGGGTACATAACTTGAAACAGGTCATCAGTGCAACAATATTTGCTATAAAATGCTAACCCCCAAATCCATCCATTTCTAAAAATTACAGCAAAAGCAAATATTGTATATATTACCTTTAATAAATACCTCACATATTTATGATGTCATGACAATTATGTGCACTGTGAATTCGTAAAAAACAAAATTGAACAATTTCAATTCTAGGTGAATTTTGCTGTGAATGTTTTGTGTTGCATAACATGTATAAAATACCTGCAAATTGTAGGGTGCAATCACAGCGACCTGCGATGCTGGTACCCCGCTGGCGAGGAGCCGCTCAACGTGCACAGTGACAAGGTCCGCCTCCCCTTCGTTGCCTTTAGACACCTCTGACTCCAGGTCTAGTTCCTCCAGACCGCAGCCTGCCGTGTCAATGAGTAGCAATGGTAGGCAGGTGTCTTCTGTTTCATCAACTCCATGAAGATCTATAAAGACGTGGGAAACATCATCCGTAATCAGAAAACCAAAACAAGTAATAAGGTTTTTTTCCGGCTATTATAAAGCGTTTATCGTTCCAATTCACCATTTTGAATATTCAAATCAATTGTCCATCACCATTGAATAGTGCACGTCCAATGTTTAGTTTCGTCTTTTGTCAGACAATTTCAAATTCATTTCCAGTAAAATCAAACAAAAAGCACACATTTTCATCCCCGAGTATTTGATTTGGTCTCGCCTACGCCAAACCTTGTTATTCAGAAATTAAATTTGTCTAATTGATTTATATCAAGCAAAATTGATCTCTGAATGCTGCCATTGGCAACCTAATAGACGAATTTCATCTGTAATAACGAATATTCTCGACCTGGTGACAAAAGAGGGTGACCAAACTTCACAATTGAATGGTAAATGACTAAAATGGTTTGGTTAAAAGCGTGTGAATTTTTTTGCGGATAAAATTTAACGATAGAGTTCGTGAATTAGATTCTTTTAAAATAGCCTGGAAAACCTATAATATGGCCTGTCACCGCAAAAAGTCGCAAATGACCACTAACCACTTTGTGATACAGTGGGACAAAGCCAAAATATTAAGGGGTGGTTGATTGTTTCGTTTTTTTGGTAGTACATGTACCTCGATTTTCTATGATTTTTGATTTCAGGTGAACCTCAATCCACAAGTCCTCAATCCACAAGTCCCCAATCTATTTGTTCTAATAAACGTTTCTTTCTTTTACCCTTTTTACAAGAAGCCTTTGGATGTACAATTTGTCACCCTCAAAATGCCTGACCAAAGCTCTGTACATGTACCATTCCGGTATCGTCTCAAAGCCCAGCCATCAGCTGTTTATTTTTAGCATCTTAACCCTCCACCGTTCATTCATTGTAGTAAAACTGTAGAATTTTAAATTAAAAAAAAAAAAGCATGCAATTTTTCATAGTTTCAAAAACTGTAACCCCTCCCCCCCCCCCTTCCCCGGAATAAATTGTTTTCTAGTGGAAGACGCCACTGTGTGAACATGTAGGCCTATGTTGTATCCAAAAACAAAAAGATATTCATCATCCACCAGCCACTTCACATAAGTTTGACAATATGTACTGCAAGAAATTGGGCTTTAAATGCGGCTTACGTTTATACATGTAGTTGCATACCATAGACATCTCACAAAACCTAGACCGGCCATTTGCCTACCATTTTCATTATCAAAATGCTGCGTCCTATAACTGCCATTATATGTGAACGCTCATTGAGAGCATTTTTTAAGAGCAGAGTGAGCATTCCCCCCGCCCCCAAGCTGGTCTGATGGTCCAGTGTCAGGAGCAAATGCGCCTCCTATGGCCTACCTACCCTCAAGAGTGTACCCTAATCATTGTAACTGCAAAAGCAGTTAACTTACTGCATTGTAAAGCCCCAGTCACGCATTCACCGTTGGAGCTGCGAATATCCACGGTTTACCAAGAATCAATCGATCACGATGAACCGTCGAGGTTCGTGGAGAAATTGACTTTCTAAAAATGCACTACGTTTTCAGGACGGATAGCCACGATTGTCGTACGGTTTCTCTACGAATACACCACGGTTTGTCAAGAATATGGACAGATTGGTGAAGAATATCAACGGTATTACTAAGAATAATGACGTTAACGCCACGGTTGTCTGAGATTGGGTCACGGATGACCAAGGTTCTCCTACAAATAAAGCGTGGATATTCGTAGTAAGACTCTAGGAGAACCCAAGCACATCCGGGCATATCCGTAGGACATACGTAGCAAATTCGTAGCGATTTCCACCACGCATGAGCTACGAATCTCCAAGAACATGTACAAATAGCCACGAATAACACTATGAATAAGTACGGTTGTCCTACGGATGTCCCACGGTTGCACTACGGATTAATTTTCATGACGGTTCACCACAGAAGTTATGAACAGTTCCAAACTTCTGTGGCCCCTCCACGAATACCCAAGGAAGATGATGGATAACCACGGATGTACTACGGATGAATACGGTACCACGGTTTATTACGAATTTCAAACCCTGGAGATATGTAGCTCCAAACCGTGAATGTGTTACTGGGGCTTATATGACTGACTGAAATGTGGTACCTTTGAGGAGGTGTCTCGCAACAGAATCATCGGCTGTGAGCTTTCCGTCATAGAGAGCGTCTGAGCTCCACTGCATGATGGCGCTGTTCATGCGGTACTGGGTGGTTAGCATGCGGGTGATTTTGTCATCATGGAGCTGGATGGCGCGTTCCATGAGAGAGACCGTGAGTCCGTCCGTGGCAGCTCTAGTCAAACAAAGACAGTGAAGCAACAAATTGTTTGAGGTAATCACTCCTTAACCCTAAAATGACTGGGGGGGGGGGGAATCCGCCCGCCCCCCCCCCAACTTTTTCCAAAAAAAGCATTACGAAAAAAAAATTTGCAACCTGAGCTGTTATGACTTTTTAGCCTCAAGCCTTGCATATCTTTTGATACCAAACCATAAAAACCAGGGGTTGCCACATAGCGAAAAATTTTCGGCGCGTAGTGAAAACTGAATTTTCCCATATACGTCATGTACATAGAGCACAATTACCATTTGTACATATTAATTAATAATACTAATTAATTAGCCATAATTCCAAAATCCTTTGACCTATAGTCAATAAATTTCTTGGGTATGTTTATGATGAGTTGCTCTATGCATGTACCAAGTTTCAAATTTTTCGTCACTTGATGGTCGAGATCTTGGGGGGGGGGGGCGGAATCCGCCCCCCCCCCCTCCCCGGCCGAGGGATGGTCAAAATAACCCGGCCTGATTAGGGTTAATTAACTATTCATTTTCAATATTCAATTAATTATGACAATGTAATTATCTTTCCTGTATTATAGCACACCTGCCATCATTTGCAAGCCGGAAATACAGGGTGGTTCAAAATAAAGGAAATCCACTTTTGACAGAAATTTTAACATATTTTAAAAAATTATTTTAAAGTTTTGTAGCTAATAAACTACTGGCCTTTGAGCATAAGTGATGAAAAAAATTGGTGCAACTGCACATTTTGACAGCAATTTCCACTTATTTTTATAACTTATTTTTAACTTTTGGTTAGTAGCTATTAAAGTACCGACCTTTAAGCGTAAGCAACAAAAACATTGTTGCAATTGCATATTGTCTCTGAGCTATGGTAGTTTGAATATTTCATGTGCGAACCCTGTTTGTCCACGGAGGTATACATTCCATCCGCTTGACTGAGCTCAGCTATCGGAGCTTGATTTGAAGACAAAATATCAGCACACTTCAAATAAGAGTTCTACTCTTTTTTGAAAGGGTAACAATGACGAAATTTGTTTATGTAATGTTATGCAACGATGAACGTAAGCCTACAGCTCCTTGGGAAGATGATCTTAACACTGACAGGACTAATCGGATTTTGGTGATTTGTATTCAAATTAGCATAATATCCCTATTCATGCGACTTTTAATAAGCTCTTTTTCACCATGCATGGTTAAAGGGCCATACTTTACTACTATGTAAAGAAACAATTGAAGTAAGTTAACTAAGTAGGAAAAAAAGTGGATTTCTTTTATTTTGAACCACCCTGTAGAGACACTACTGAATGGCGGTCCACGGATTTGTAATGTTAAAATGCCCATAAGCGTGAACGTGTTTAGTTTTTCCATGTAGCCTGGTTCTGATTTTAAAATTTCCTACGATCTGGCATTCAAAACCTTTCCTTTTTTTTGTCTGAGAGGTTACCAAGCAATTTTTTAAGTTGGTTACGTTAACCCAATCCCATAATCTGGAACAGGTTTTTGACATTGGCGGTCGGGTATCGCAAGCCGCTATTTTTCCGTGATATGATGAACATTAAATGGGTAAAAACTGTTACCACAATATTTTACAGAAATCAGAAAATTCTGATTTGTTTCAATCTGAAAACTTCAAAACAGGGACGATTCCTATTTAATAGCGACGGTTGGCAGGTATGTTATAGTGATTAATTATGTTATGGTATGAGTATATAGCATGGTTTTGAGGGTGGATAGTCAGTATTACATGTACCTCTACACCAAAAATGTGTTTAACACTAACTCCTTACTGTCTTTTACTAAGTATTATACCAAGTCCGGCAAAATCCATCACTGACACTGCTTCACAAAATACTTCAGGACCAAATCTGCTGACATCCACCACAATACCATCACTACTTCTCTAGGTGGATTTTGATGGACGTGGCACTCATGACTTGTCAGCAAATCCATACACAAAGGGGGATGGATTTTGATGGATTTGGGAAGGTTAGGATTAAGGGATTAAGTTAAAGTCTCAAACAAAAATATTGCAGTGCGTGCTGCCATCTTTTCATGTAGCTAGTATACACTGGTATAGGGTGATGTTCGCACATGCATGCTACCCCCTGCAATTGCTCTGTGATAGCTTTGTATTGATCTTATGACAGTATTTGTGTGGCCTTGCTAAGGCCGATGACCAATACATTCTATTATTATTTATATCAGGCTTCCAGCGGTAAAAATAAATCAGCGTATTGTATGCTTTCATAAAAAGTACCGGGATGACTGCAATATTACTGTTAACAGTGATGTAGTGCCTTGATGCTGGGCCTTGGCCTTAAGGCTGCCTTAAGGCTGGACTTTAGGGCCTTGGCCTTGAGGCTTGAGGGCAAAAGCCTTGGCCTTGGCCTTGGCCTTGAGGGATCAGTGCCTTGCAATTTTCAGTCAAGGCTCTTCAAGGCCCATAGATTTTTGCATTTTCCAGATAAATCTGTTTGAAATTTTGCTGTTACCATTTTAATCGGTTTACCATGGAGGAGGGAAACACTCTATAGATTTTTGTGTTGGGCACACTTCCACTTTTATAGCATCATATTGTGTTACCATTGTAGTAGATTTGCTGCAACAATATTCTGTACACTTGTGGGGCTAATGAGATAATCACTTAAATTGTATACTTATGGAATAGATCTGATTGGTTGTATATGTCTCCCTGATAAGTGCTAAAGATTTGCATGTACATGTATCTGTTTTAGATAATGCTAATATTTCTGACCATGTTGGCCCAGCAAATAAAAATTTCCCAAATCAGTTTCTTGGATCCCCCTTTTGTTACACTCGGGAGAATTGTGCGTCAATATATTGTTATTTTGTTTTAGTTAAACCATATTCATGAAGACCTGAACTTATACTTTAATAGATACAATGCAGTCATAAAACATTGTATGCGAGCATGTTGATTGCAATTAAAGACAAGTTGTTCTTCTTAATGAGCGATTCGTGATGATGTGTCATGTGACTATAATTAGTTCTATATTAGTGGTCATTTTATAAAACAGGGCCTTGGCCTTGGCCTTAGCCTGGAGGGTTAAGCCTTGGCCTTGGCCTCGAGGCTTGAGGGTCAAAGCCTTGGCCTTGGCCTTGGCCTTGAGGGTCAAAGCCTTGGCCTTGGCCTTGGCCTTGAGGGTCAAAGCCTTTGCTCCAACACTGACTGTTAACCACTCAACAGAGCGTAGCGCGCGCGTACCGTCAAACACGGAACACGCTGTGCGCATGCAGAGCGAAGAAAGCGGCCGGGTATGCGCACTGTTGTCAACATTACAGTACATACAGTAGCTTCAAATAGTTTGATGAAAAAGATGAGGACTGTCTTGAATTGTATTTCTTGCGAATCAAGTCAGCCTGATATAAATAATAATAATAATATTGGATGGCTTGTTTTCGGTGGATACCAGAATATATTGCACTCGCTGTGACAATATTGCACTCGTCTTCGACTCATGCAATATTGTCATAGCTCGTGCAATATATTCTTGTATCCACCTCAAAGCCATCCAATATTATATAAATATTGCTCATTTGACGCTGAAAGTTCCTCAGGACACCAGGATGCTATTACTTGTTCATAGTCATTTCTTTGAAACCAGGACACCAAAACTTAAACGTAAGTTTTACTCATAATTTTCGACCTCTTGCTCATACTTCAGATTAGGTTTTGCCCTTCACTGACGTTTAAACAGTGAATACTCAATGTGTTACCTCCTGAGTGTCAAGTGGCGTACGTTCATCAGATACATCAGAATCAAACCAGCCAACCGATCCCGTTAGCTCGATGGTCGAGTGGTAAGACATCTGTACTAGAATGTAGAAAGCAGGAGGTCGTGGGTTCAAGTGCCACCCGAGTGATTTTTTTCCAACTTTCACTAGGGAGGTAACACACTGAGTATACAGTGTTTAAACGTCGGTGAAGGGCAAAACCTAATTTGATTTATATCACCCCGACGCAAAATTCCATCTTTAATAGTTTTTGCGGCACTTGCTGCTATGTACATCAGATTTGAACCAGCCAACCGATCCCGTTAACTCGGTGGTCGAGTGGTAAGACATCTGCACTAGAAAGCAGGAGGTCATGGGTTTGAGTTCCACCCAAGTGATTTTTTTCCAACTTTCACTCGGGAGGTAACACACTGAGCATACAGTGTTTAAACGTCGGTGAAGGGCAAAACCAAATTTGATTTATATCACCCCAACGCAAAATTCCATCTTATGATTGCTCATACTTGTCTGATAGAATCGTCGGTGGCAGCTGCTGGTGGTCTCCGGCTAGGATGCAGCGCGGAGCCAATGGGAGCGGTATCCAACAACTAGCTTCCAGAGCCTGGGCGCACTCGTCGATGACCACCAGGTCAAAGAAGTCCTTCGGCAGATGACCCAAGGGCCCGGAAGGCGAGGCCCCGGTGTTGGTAGCCAGGATGACGTCTGCTCTCTGCAGGATCTCTCGGATGGCGTGCTGCTCCCGTTCTCGGAGCTCTTTGCGTAAGGTCTTGGCTTCGTCGCGAAGCCGGCGCTTCTCGCTACCTTGTTTTGATTTGGAGAGCTGGGTCTGTATGATATGAGAAAGGAACTTTGGAATTGCAAGCAGAGAGGGCAAGTTGGAAGGTTGGTATGATTCCATTGCAAGAAATAATATTCAAAGTAATGTAAGAAATAACCAAATGTCCATTTGACCAATTCTAGTGATTGAAGCAATAACCTCAATGACTAAACGACATTACTTGGATTTATCATTTTTGAAATAAAAATATGCCATATAGTCTACATGTAGTAGAATTTAACCTGAAACTGAAGCCCTGCAAATATATGAAAAGTTTGGGTTCGGTTTGGATCAATTGGGTTCAGTTTATGGGTAGGATTGGGTTGAGTTGAGTACATTTGACATGATTTGGACTGAGTTGAGTTGAGTTATTATTTATTATCAGAGTTGGGCTGGGTAAGGTTGAGTTGGGATAGGATGGGATGAGTTGAGATGGGTTGGGCTGGGTTGGGTTGGGTTTGGTTAGCTTGGGTTATGTTTGGTTGGATTGGAATGGGTTGAGTTGAGTTGGGTTGGCATGGTTGTGTTGGGTTAGGATGGGTCGGGTTAGAATGGGTTGGGTTTGGATGGGTTGGGTTAGAATGGGTTGGGTTAGAATGGGTTGGGTTAGAATGGGTTGGGTTAGGATGGGTTGGGTTAGAATGGGTTGGGTTAGGATGGGTTGGGTTAGGATGGGTTGGGTTAGAATGGGTTGGGTTAGAATGGGTTGGGTTAGGATGGGTTGGGTTAGGATGGGTTGGGTTAGGATGGGTTGGGTTAGGATGGGTTGGGTTAGGATGGGTTGGGTTAGGATGGGTTGGGTTAGGATGTGTTGGGTTAGGATGTGTTGGGTTAGGATGGGTGGGTTAGAATGGGTTGGGTTAGAATGGGTTTGGGTTAGGATGTGTTGGGTTGGGTTAGGATGTGTTGGGTTAGGATGTGTTGGGTTAGGATGGGTTGGGTTAGGATGGGTTGGGTTAGGATGTGTTGGGTTAGGATGGGTTGGGTTAGGATATGTTGGGTTAGGATGTGTTGGGTTAGGATGTGTTGGGTTAGGATGGGTGGGTTAGAATGGGTTGGGTTAGAATGGGTTGGGTTAGGATGTGTTGGGTTAGGATGTGTTGGGTTAGGATGGGTTGGGTTAGGATGGGTTGGGTTAGGATGGGTTGGGTTAGAATGGGTTGGGTTAGGATGGGTTGGGTTAGGATGTGTTGGGTTAGGATGTGTTGGGTTAGGATGGGTTGGGTTAGGATGGGTTGGCATGGTTGGGTTGGGTTAGGATGGGTCGGGTTAGAATGGGTTGGGTTTGGATGGGTTGGGTTAGAATGGGTTGGGTTAGGATGGGTTGGGTTAGAATGGGTTGGGTTAGGATGGGTTGGGTTAGGATGGGTTGGGTTAGAATGGGTTGGGTTAGGATGTGTTGGGTTAGGATGGGTTGGGTTAGGATGGGTTGGGTTAGGATGGGTTGGGTTAGGATGGGTTGGGTTAGGATGGGTTGGGTTAGGATGTGTTGGGTTAGGATGGGTTGGGTTAGGATGGGTGGGTTAGAATGGGTTGGGTTAGAATGGGTTAGGTTAGGATGTGTTGGGTTGGGTTAGGATGGGTTGGGTTAGGATGTGTTGGGTTAGGAAGTGTTGGGTTAGGATGGGTTGGGTTAGGATGGGTTGGGTTAGGATGTGTTGGGTTAGGATGTGTTGGGTTAGGATGTGTTGGGTTAGGATGTGTTGGGTTAGGATGGGTGGGTTAGAATGGGTTGGGTTAGAATGGGTTGGGTTAGGATGGGTTGGGTTAGGATGGGTTGGGTTAGAATGGGTTGGGTCAGGACGGGTTGGGCTAGGTTGAGTTGAGTTTGATTGGGTTGGGTTAGTGCTTGGCTGGGTTGGGTTTGGTTAGAGCTTGGTTAGGTTGGGTTGAGTTTGTTTGTGCATTCAATATGGGACGTTGAAGTGCATGCACAAACAAAAGAGGGAAAATAAGATTGCAGGAAAATGCACACATGGGTGGGTTGGGTTCGTGCTTGGCTGGGTTGAGCTGGGTTGGTTCGGGCTGGTATGGATTCAGTTGAGTTACATGTATGCTGGAACATATTGCTTTGGATTAGTTTGAGATGGGCTGGGTTGGCTTGGGATGGGCCGGTTGGGATGGGCTTGGTTTGGTCGGGATGGGTTGAGATGGGTTGAGATGGTTTGGGATTTTATGGGATGGGTTCTACTACTTCTGCGTTCATGCTTGGCAAAGTCCCCACATTGGGATATCTTGCCAAGGTTGTGAATAAGACTGATGACTGAGGCTGTTTTGAATTGGGAAAATGGAATTCAGTTGATTGAAATTGGATTCAGTTGGGTTCAGTTGGCTTGAGTTGGGTTGGCATGGTTGGGTTGGGTTAGGATGGGTCGGGTTAGAATGGGTTGTGTTTGGATGGGTTGGGTTAGAATGGGTTGGGTTAGAATGGGTTGGGTTAGAATGGGTTGGGTTAGGATGGGTTGGGTTAGAATGGGTTGGGTTAGGATGGGTTGGGTTAGGATGGGTTGGGTTAGAATGGGTTGGGTTAGGATGTGTTGGGTTAGGATGGGTTGGGTTAGGATGGGTTGGGTTAGGATGGGTTGGGTTAGGATGGGTTGGGTTAGGATGGGTTGGGTTAGGATGGGTTGGGTTAGGATGTGTTGGGTTAGGATGTGTTGGGTTAGGATGGGTGGGTTAGAATGGGTTGGGTTAGAATGGGTTTGGGTTAGGATGTGTTGGGTTGGGTTAGGATGTGTTGGGTTAGGATGTGTTGGGTTAGGATGGGTTGGGTTAGGATGGGTTGGGTTAGGATGTGTTGGGTTAGGATGGGTTGGGTTAGGATGGGTTGGGTTAGGATATGTTGGGTTAGGATGTGTTGGGTTAGGATGTGTTGGGTTAGGATGGGTGGGTTAGAATGGGTTGGGTTAGAATGGGTTGGGTTAGGATGTGTTGGGTTAGAATGGGTTGGGTTAGGATGGGTTGGGTTAGGATGGGTTGGGTTAGGATGGGTTGGGTTAGGATGGGTTGGGTTAGAATGGGTTGGGTTAGGATGGGTTGGGTTAGGATGTGTTGGGTTAGGATGTGTTGGGTTAGGATGGGTTGGGTTAGGATGGGTTGGCATGGTTGGGTTGGGTTAGGATGGGTCGGGTTAGAATGGGTTGGGTTTGGATGGGTTGGGTTAGAATGGGTTGGGTTAGAATGGGTTGGGTTAGAATGGGTTGGGTTAGGATGGGTTGGGTTAGAATGGGTTGGGTTAGGATGGGTTGGGTTAGGATGGGTTGGGTTAGAATGGGTTGGGTTAGGATGTGTTGGGTTAGGATGGGTTGGGTTAGGATGGGTTGGGTTAGGATGGGTTGGGTTAGGATGGGTTGGGTTAGGATGGGTTGGGTTAGGATGTGTTGGGTTAAGATGTGTTGGGTTAGGATGGGTGGGTTAGAATGGGTTGGGTTAGAATGGGTTGGGTTAGGATGGGTTGGGTTGGGTTAGGATGGGTTGGGTTAGGATGTGTTGGGTTAGGATGTGTTGGGTTAGGATGGGTTGGGTTAGGATGTGTTGGGTTAGGATGTGTTGGGTTAGGATGTGTTGGGTTAGGATGTGTTGGGTTAGGATGGGTGGGTTAGAATGGGTTGGGTTAGAATGGGTTGGGTTAGGATGTGTTGGGTTAGGATGGGTGGGTTAGAATGGGTTGGGTTAGAATGGGTTGGGTTAGGATGGGTTGGGTTAGGATGGGTTGGGTTAGAATGGGTTGGGTCAGGACGGGTTGGGCTAGGTTGAGTTGAGTTTGATTGGGTTGGGTTAGTGCTTGGCTGGGTTGGGTTTGGTTAGAGCTTGGTTAGGTTGGGTTGAGTTTGTTTGTGCATTCAATATGGGACGTTGAAGTGCATGTACAAACAAAAGAGGGAAAATAAGATTGCAGGAAAATGCACACATGGGTGGGTTGGGTTCGTGCTTGGCTGGGTTGAGCTGGGTTGGTTCGGGCTGGTATGGATTCAGTTGAGTTACATGTATGCTGGAACATATTGCTTTGGATTAGTTTGAGATGGGCTGGGTTGGCTTGGGATGGGCCGGTTGGGATGGGCTTGGTTTGGTCGGGTTGGGTTGGGATGGGTTGAGATGGTTTGGGATTTGATGGGATGGGTTCTACTACTTCTGCGTTCATGCTTGGCAAAGTCCCCACATTGCGATATCTCGCCAAGATTGTGAATAAGACTGATGACTGAGGCTGTTTTGAATTGGGAAAATGGAATTCAGTTGATTGAAATTGGATTCAGTTGGGTTCAGTTGGCTTGAGTTGGGATGGGCTGGGTTGGGCTTGGGTGGGAATTTGTTTTGTTTGCTTTATGATGGGTTTTATTTATTTGTGTTGGATTGGGATTGGGTTGAATTGGGTTGGGTCAGGTTGGGTTGGATTTGGTTGGGTTTGGATTGAATGGGTTGAATAGGGTTGTGTTGGTTGAAATGGGTTGGATGCGGCTGGTTTGTTTGGGTTGATAGAGATGTTAGTTTGGCATAATAATTAGAATGATGGATAGCAGGACAAAATCTTGGGTGTGAATCATCCAGTGAGCCTGAGCATGTTTGTCTGAGCTAAAAGTGACCCTGCTTCCGTTGAGCCGAGTTTCTCCTCAATCAAGCTTACCCTCGTCTGATCAATCTCCTTCCGCACATCTCGGACGATGCCCGCCTCTTCGCTAGATGCCAGGATAGCGTCCAGTGAGTACCTCTGGATTGAATGCAGGAGCCTGGCAGGGTGACCGAGGCGAACGACCCGCACCTTAGCTGCCACAAGTCTCTCCACCAGATTGTCTACGGCAACGTTGGATGGCGCACAAGCTAACACCTGCGTTAAGAAGCAATGTCGTGCTATTCAACAAGTTCTTTTTTTTCCTCCTCAAAAGGGTTGAAGTTTTGAGTATTTAACCAAAACATTTGCTTTTTATCTGTTTCTGGCATTGTATTATAATAATATAATAGTTGGTATTTATAAAGCGCATGTATCCACCAGGACTGGTGCTCAAGGCGCTACATCATTATTACCCCTGATAATTGGGCCCATGAAACATTCCAAATACCATCTCAGCTCCCTGAGGAGTATACAGCTTGATGCTGTTAGGCAATAACCATCTCTGCCCTCATAGGTACCCATTTACTCCTGGGTGAAGAGAAGCAATGAGTGATAAAGTGCCTTGCCCAAGGGCACACACACCATGACCCCAAGATGGACTCGAACCCACAACCTGCAACTTTACCCGCAGACCACGAATCCAATGCCCTTAACCACGAGGCCACAGCACTCCACCTATAACGTAAATCCTCATTTGGTTTATCGGCACTGTAAACCAAACACAAGTGCTGAAATTGAGTCCATCACAAGTCAAATCACAAGCCCATCACAAGTAGGGTCACAAGTCAATCGCAAGTAAAGTCACAAGCGACAAAGGATGAAGAAGGGCAAAGGACAGCCTTTGTCACAAACGCATGAATACATTTTTACTTCACTTGAGACTGAAGGGACTTGTGACGAACTAGTGACTGAGTTGAGAATGAGTTGTGATAGACGTGTGATGGACTTGTGATTGACTTGTGATTGTCATGTGATTGACTTGTGATCAGGATGTGATAGACTTATGACTGACTTGTGATTATCTGTAATTGACTTGTGATTGACTTGTGATTGTCATGTGATTGTCATGTGATTGTCATGTTATTGACTTGTGATTGTCATGTGATTGACTTGTGATCATGTTGTGATGGACTTGTAATTGACTTGTGATCTTTAGGGTATTGAACTGAGTAAATCACCGCCATCTTTACCTTCAGTTTGTGCTTGACAGCCTGCCGGATGATCTCCACAACAGTCGTTGTCTTCCCCGTGCCGGGGGGTCCGTGGATGACGGCTATGTCACGCTGGCAGAGGGCAAAGGTCACAGCCTCCCGCTGTGATTGGTCCAGATTCTCATTGAAAAACTGCAGCTCTGTCGACGCTGATGACAAAAGACAGAGGTTTACATTCCTTGATTTCCAAAAGTCAAAGTTTAAGTTACACCACAAATGAACTAGAAGCTGACCAACTGTCCTTGATTAAACTTGCTCATACCCACAGGTTCTTGAGACAGGTTCGTCGGCAGCAACGGAGAGCTGATGTCCGCTTCCCCAAACAAGACATCCACCAGGTGACTGGCCCTGCCTGCGGTGTAAGAATCCAGATCTGAAAGGGCCCTGACAAAAACACCAAAAGAGGAATTCGGAATTTGAACACAGAAGTTGACTGCTGTGGGTGGAAACCTGTGACCTCTGGATTGCCGTTACAGTGATCCAGTTCTTTATCAAGGGGGGGGGGGGAAATTCTGAAAAAGTAACCGGTTTTTGGGCCGGATTCACACCGAAATAATTGAAATTGTTTGAATTTCTGAAGAAACAGGATACATTTGTACTTGAGATATTTTTGGAGGGACAGAAATGAGATATTTGACAATCTGCTGACAAAAATCAGAAAACAAATAATTTGGACCTTTCCTTTTTTGTGTGTGTGTGGGGGGGGGATACGATATCAAATCAATTCCCATGATGTGGAAACCATTTGCCCTTTGTTAAGTTTTCAATCCATTGTTTTTAACAACACACTTGTTAACAATGTCACATCTTTAATCACCTTTTCAGCCTCCTGTAGGTGACATCGTTGGCAAGTTTTGTCAACCTGTACAGTCCCTCGTGCTCGAAGGTGACAGGACCATCGGTGTCCTTGTGATCAAATGCGACAGTGACTGACGACTGAGTGACTCTTGAAACAATGCCCGATGGCTCATCTGTGGACGAGGCTCCACCCCCATGGGAGGAGCTGACACCAACAATGTCTCCTTTTGGATCAGACAGAAAAAAACCTCATGAATATGCAATGAGTGATGAACAGGATGACTTTTATAATGTAAAATGGTCATCCAGTTGAGGCTCCGCCCCCATGGGAAGAGCTTACACCAACAATGTCTCCTATTGGATCAGACAGAAAAAAACCTTATGAATATGCAATGAGTGATTAACAGGATGACTTTTATAATGTAAAATAGTCATCCAGTTGAGGCTCCACCCTCAGGGGAGGAGCTTACACCAAGAATGTCTCCTATTGGATCACACAGAAAGAAAACAACCTTACTAATATGTAATGAATGATTAACAGGATGGCTTTTATAATGTAAAATAGTCATCCAGTTGAGGCTCCACCCTCAGGGGAGGGACTTACAGGAACAAAGTCTCCTATTGGACCAGACAAAAACAAGTTCTCATGACTATGCATGAGTGATTGCTAACAGGGTGACCTTTATAGTGGTGCATTCGTTTAGCTCACCCTGGTCAACATGGGTTAGCCCCGTGCCGTTTGATTAGTACTGACGTCATTCTCGGGGCTTAATCGGGTCAGCCACCACAGCTCGTGGAGCAGAGTCACTGGTGGAAGTACGTCACGCATACATTGTTCATTCCCTAGAAACGGACAATATGGCGGCTGGACAGCTAAAATCTCAAGTGGACTTAAAAGTTGACTTTATTTGAAGTCTAAAGGTAATCATTTACCGACTTCATTGCGACTTTTGAGGCTATGATTCCAGCCCAACTTTTTTGAGTTTTGCAAATGACTACAAAGCAGTAAATCTCAAACTAAGACCAAATCCGAAACGGGTGTTACACCAACAATGTCACCTGTAAGATCACACGGGCAGAAAGGACATCATACACAATGTACATGTACATGTAAATACCAGGGTGACCGTAAGGCCAGGGCAAAATTCTGCAGATAAAAAATCTGTCAGATTTATCAAAAATCTGCCAAATTCCCCAGAATTACTCGAAATATACTATTAACACTGAAACTCACATGCAGATTGGTACTTTTGCCTTAATCAAGGTTCAAATTACATTAACAAACAATCTATAGTCTCATAAAGATGTTGTGAAATTATCGCGTCAATTTTCCGGCAAAACACGGATCCGGCCACGACGACAGTCCGTTTCCCAGTGAACCTCAGCACCTAGACCAGCCAACCTCCCTTTATGCAAGGGTTTGTTAGAAAGGATTGAAGCTTTCTTAAACAAATGTACCATTTTGTTTGTTCTAATTGCTGTTTTCTGTCGAATAACCATTTTTGCAGAATTCTGCCAGAAATCTGCCCAAAAAAATCAATTCTGTCAAATTTTCGGTCAAACTCGTTTTTTTAACAAAAATTCTGTCAAAGTTAGCCGAAAATCGGCTCAAACGGTCACCCTGGTAAATACAGACTGAAGCTTACAACATTCCAGATTGGTGTAATATTTATATGGCCCAAAAAAAAAAGTCTCCGGTTTCTGGTATGCGCGCGCGTCGCCGTAGCCATGCGCGTCGGCAAAATGAAAAAGTTTTTTTTTCAATGAAAGATGATGTCTCAAAACCGCCAAACTCACTGGTTTGACTGGAATTCTGCTGCTGCGCAATTTCAACGTGTTTTTAGATGGGTTTATGATCGAGAATAAGCTTTATGTGGCCTCTCTGGACTCCCATATATTTGCACTAAGTTTAGTCCGGCACCATTTGCAGTCATCAGCCGACATTTGAAGCACATTTGAAGCAAAAAAGTCGGGTAAAAAAAAAAAAAAGCCGCGTCGCCGCACCACTTTTTGGACAAACTCCACGTGGTGTTTTTTTTTTACTCACCCTGTATTTGTAACAATACACATTCCCAGTCATCCAGTAGTAAATGGCATATCAATTTATCAATAAACCTTAATTCTGGAACTTACAATATTTTTGTGACGATTTCGTAACTTTTTAAATATTGCATAGAAACTTTGGGACTTCACTTGTAACCATGGTAACCCAGTGAGCTGCAAACAACGTCTGATGGTTTTAGACGCAATAATGCAAAAAAGTGCAAAATCCAAAGTTATAGAATTGGAGTTATTTGATATTTCACATGTATTTGTCAGGTGTAAACGCTTTGTAGGGTTTTTGTACCTGAGCTGATGTTATGTGTTGGCAGTGTGCCATCCCCGTGCCCTTTATTCGGTGCGAAGGTTACCAATGTCCTCCCGTACAGCCCTGTTGATTGGCTGGCTGGGTGGAGCTTCAGCAGACACACTCCACGCCTCTGCAGTTCCTTCAGGGGGACATTTTCCACTAGCGCACTGTTGAAATGTGAAGTGCATTCAGCCAAAGCAGAGAAACAGTTGTGAGTCTAATTAGTTTATAAAATACAAACAACATTTTTTTTTCTCTCTTTATCGTATCTTTCTTCATAACAATTGGCGATTGCTGCCATCTTAAAATCGATGTAATTTCACACCTTACAAAAATTATGATGATGGTTTTCAACGATTGTTTGCCATTTTATACTCAATCAGTACAATTAATGTAGGTGGGGGCAGATATCTGGGAATTTTTCTACATTGGAAAGCAGTCGTCTTGCTTTCAACGACTGCTTTCCACGACAACGCACCAGACGAAAATTGAACCGACTAGCGGACCTGAAAGCAGTGTGGTACCCACATGCATTGCTCGCACAGATTTTCGAATGTCATCACGTGATGCATTGCATTTGCATAATTAACCAAACAACATGGACAATTTTTATGTACAAGCCACAGAAATCGTCAACATTTTCACATTTTAGGGTTTTTTTGGTTCGGTTTCAAGTTGATCATTAGCTTCGTGAATGACTGCTGCATGGTTATGAGGTATGTAAATGGAATGTTGGTTGGGATAATTGGGGGGAAAAGGACAATTTTGGGGAAGCAATTTTTGAAGGGTCTCTTAAGATCTCACTTTTAGTTTTGACGTAGTTATGTCTCCAGCGTTACATGTGAATAGGCGGCGTCTGATTGGCCAATATCAAGGCCACGCGATAAATGCAGCTAATAATTTGGAATCGCACTTATGATCCGGACATCATCAGGAGTGCCCAGAGCGTCAGTGCAATACCAAATTATCTGCAGCATTTATCACGTAGTAAATTACATGGATCAGGAGGAGGTTGCAGGACGTTGAGATCTTGCCAGATTTTACCTCGAATATCGTATAAATGCCAGATTTGGCGTAAAAGCAGATTTCAACATGTTCAAGAAAGGTTGATGTGTGAATACTTATCACACGGTAAGGCAATGTTCAGTCTGTGTCACGGAAGGACGATTGCGCTTGGTTAGAACATGTACAAGAGCGTGGCGTAGTTTACAAGCCACGTTCACGGGTCTAGTTGTATATTAGTATCTATGACATGAACGTCACCAACACAACTCACAAGTTTATCATGTCAGGTCAAATAATTTTAAGGTAGTGTATATTTTGCCGGAGGTAACGCCGGCAAACTAACGTTTACTAAGGGTTTGCTGGCGGCAATCCATATCAACAGAGGGCGCTGTACTCTTTAAGATAGGGCTAAGTTATAACATGTATTAAATTCCCACCAAAGTTGTGTACATGTAGCACAGTCAGTGCAGTGGTTAAGCAATAGCTTTAGTGAGTGGGATGTCCCGAGTTCGAATCCTGACCCCCGCCACAATTTTAAGGTTTTTTTTCCCATCCCCAAATAAATAAGAATATTCTGCTTTTATTATTTTAATATGTCTCAAACATTTTATTGCAGAGTATTCCTTTTTCTTGTTCAGATTTGTGGCTATGGAGGATTTTTTTTAAAGGGAAATAAAGTCCGAAATTATAAAATGGTCTGATTCCCATCTTGTTAATACAAAAATACAACGATAATATTGGCATGGAGCCAGACTAAAATTTGTCACCGGAAAATGTTTAAGTACAAAAAACAGTAACTGCGCATGTTCAGTGCATATCCGGCAAACTAACGTTTACTGAAGGTTTGCCGTCTCTGGCAAAATATCCACTGCCTAATTTTAAAGTGGATAATGTGCTGTTAATCCATAACAACAAGCATGAAAAGTTGGACCACATGTGGACATGCCTCACGTGATCATCAATCAGTGTCAATCATGTTAATCATGAACACGTCATTATCAGACAAACATGACTGCATGATCGGCCATGCCTAACCCTAGGCATGCTACTGCTAGGCCAGATGACAAGAGGATGGATTTTTTTCCATAATTCCTCCGTCATGTGTTGATGTAGCCTACCTTGTTTCAGCAATTTCAGCTTCTCTCTCAAGAGACAGCAACTCTGTCTGTTTCTTGACAAACTCTCTCAAAGCCATGTTCCTTAATTAGAAGCCATCACAATCTGATTGAAGAGTGAAACAGTTTTAATGCGAGTTTTAAAATTTGCTACATGGGCGCAGCCATCTTGTTTTACAAATAAACAGCGCCACCAAGAAGCCATAATTTTGATTGAATGAGGGCGCTGTAACGATGCTTTTAATAATGACAGGTTAAGAAACTGTTCACGTTTAGGTCTCCTCAGGGCGAGAGGGATGTAATAGTCTGAGCATCACCTTACCTCGTCTCCAGGGTGTCGAGCTGTACGCGCCCACCACTACCTGCTCTCTCACCCTGGTATTGGATCATTTGCATGTGCAAGATTTTTGAACACGTATGCAAATGAGGAACAGTCTGGTGCCTGGATATGCATTACACATTAGCTTTTGGGTAGTGCGCCCAATTAAGAACCGATGATTCACTCTCTATCTTCAACTTATATGAAATAACAGCGAAGAAAATAAACATAATTAATCTTTTTTGTGGATGAAATTTTGTGTGAAAACTTGGGGGGGGGGGAGCAAGGAAACAGCTTTGGGACTCCCCCCCCCCCCCCCCCCCCGTACGTAGCGCCGCCACTGGTTACAGTGTGCTTTCTATAATAAAACACCGAAGCCTTTCATTTTTCTAAGGACTAATAATATTTCACAATTGCACCTAATACTTTGAAATATAGCTGTGGTAAAGACAGGGACGTCATGAGACACTTTTTACGTATCGAAAGAAACATGACATACCGCGCTATGTTCCCAGTCTTGACCCAAAATTGAGGCTTCCATGCATCTTTGAGCTGTTTGTTACAGACTAACTAATTTATTGGACAAAAAGCATAACAAGACAAAATAAATAATTAAAGTAAATTTCATTCAAAGAAGTCGTTCCCCTAAATATTCCCTTACGATTATCTTAGATTTATCAAAGTAGAGAATCTAGGAAACGCAAAGGATTGTGGGACCACTCGACAATCGTCACCAGCTTATAACAAGTAGAACAGAAACAGCAACGAATCTGAGTGCATTAATTGTGTACAATGATAGCAATAAAAGTGTAGCAAAAACAAATCTGAATGATCCAATGTTGTCTCATCAATTTTCTAAGAAGTTTGATATGACCGATTAATTATATTTATATATACAAACACAATTTTGTGTGTCTTAAAGTGGCTCTACCCGTGCTCTTCAAAACATTCTATTTATTTTTCTACTGACGACTTTTCAATATTTTTTTGGTCAATTTCAGATGCTTTTATCTTTTGAAAATACCCGCTTTTGGGGGGTTTCTTTTCAGCTTATAAGACACAAAAGATACGATTGTCGGGCTGCAAATAGCACGGATCAAGACATCACTTATTTTCCGTTAAAGGAGATAAAACCAGAACAATAAATTACTTCAGCTTGATTCAATTTATACAACAAATTCAGGCAAAGACACTTCGTCAACTGTACTCGTTTCGACTTGAATACTCGCAAACAGTGTCATAGTTCACATTTGGTTTAAATATAAAAGTCTGGTAAACACTTAAGAAGAAACAGACTCCGAGGCTAAGAAATAAAATTCAGGCACATTAGTATGGAACTCTTCATAGACAAGTGCAACAGCTAAAGTGTAAAAGGCAATGATGAAGCGTTTCTTTTACAAGCATGGAACAAATGCAGCTCCGACTTAAATTTGACAAGCGAAATTGTTTCTTTTTTTATGTCCAAACTAGAAACACTTCCGATGGACGATAGCGGGCCCGTTCTCATCGTACTCTTGCTTAGAGATCCACATCTGCTGGAAGGTGGACAGGGAGGCAAGGATGGAGCCACCCATCCACACGGAGTACTTCCTCTCTGGGGGAGCCACGATCTTCACCTTCATGGTGGGCGGAGCGAGGGTGGTCAGCTCCTTGTTCATCCGGTCAGCCATGCCGGGGAACATGGTGGAGCCCCCAGACATCACCACGTTGGTGTACATGTCCCTACGGATGTCCATGTCGCACCCCATGATGCTGTTGTACACCGACTCGTGGATGCCGACGGATTCCATGCCGATGAAGGACGGCTGGAAGAGGACCTCCGGGCACCGGAACCTCTCGTTGCCGATGGTGACGACCTGGCCGTCCGGGAGCTCGTAGCTCTTCTCCAGGGCGGAGCTGGACTGAGAAGACGCCATCTCTTGCTCGAAGTCCAGGGCCGAGTAGCAGAGCTTCTCTTTGATGTCACGGACTATCTCCTTCTCGGCTGTTGGAAAAAAACAAAGTTTCGAGAAATATGAAACATTTGTTTGAATTGCCCACTCGTATTTAGAGTCCCGGGTCAAATTTCACCTGGAATCCCAATCATAACGACCTGATATACTTGTTGGGGTCAATATGACACGGGTTCCTTTCCGGATCATTTTGACCCGGAAACCCAGGCAAAAGTCGGATGACGCGGAACTTTTAAGAGTGCATTGCAAATTGATATTTGGAATTTGGTCTGCAGAAAACGAAGCAACTTTTTTAGTGTTAAAAAAAAACGCACTTGGACAAAACGAAGCGCTACAGGACTTCCGAACTGAGAAATGACCGGTAAACAGTTTCTCGTGGAATTTTTCGATACGTTTAGAAAAAAAACAACTCAAAACACTCTTTCTTAAGACCAGCTTCACAGTGTGAAAACCAACATTTTTAACACAACTGGACTGCCCTCCAAAGTACTAATGGAGATAACCTTTTTAGACATCACGTTCATGGGCGGATCCAGGAGGGGATATTTAGCCGTCAAAACGGGGGGGGGGGGGCAATTTGCTGCCTTTGGATTTGAGAGGGTAATTATAGCAAACGTTGAAGCTCACCTGATGTGGAGAAGGCATATCCTCGCTCCGACAGAATCACCATGAGGTAGTCGGTCAGGTCGCGGCCGGCCAGGTCAAGCCTCTTGATGGCGTGGGGCAGGGAGTAGCCCTCGTAGATGGGCACAACGTGAGACACGCCGTCGCCGGAGTCGAAGACCACGCCGGTGGTACGACCGGAGGAGTAGAGAGACAGGACGGCCTGGATGCTGACGTACATGACCGGCACGTTGAAGGTCTCGAACATGATCTATAAGAAAGAATATTGACGTTTAAGTTAGCTAAACATGTATGACGATAGAGTTTCATCCCGAAAGTAGATATTTTCGAGTTTCATCCCAATAATATATTCCTGTTCTAAATTGTGTTTTTTTTTTCTTGGAAATTAGACATCTTCCCAAATAAGAATCTGCTCAGGTTTATCTGCGAAAGATAATTTCGTTCTGGTGGGTAGACTAGTCCCCACCCTACAATCGTTGTCGTTAATAATTATGTGGACCGGGAGCCAGTTTGCTCGGAAGGTAGATATGTTTGTGACCAAAGTGAAAACCGATTTTTCAGAGGGTAGCTGACGCAACCCCCTCCAAAACGCACTTGTTTTTTGTTGGATTAAAACACACAAGTTGAAAATATATTAGACACAAGTGCACGGGTAACGCATTAACTATAAACATGTATTCCCATCAATGAATTTCTATCTTTTAAAAAGAGAAGTCAGATTGTACATGAAAATAGCAAAACTCGACTTTATTTAGAGTAAGTTCTTTGCAGTTGAAAATCAGCCGGAATAGTTTTAGTCCTAGTCAGGATTTATGAGGGCGGATCCCGATTTTTCCAAAAAGGAGGGGTTAAATGTTTCAGGTATAGAATTTTTTTTAATGTTCAGATTTTCCAGTAATATGTAAATAAACATCATCGGCCGAAGTAATTAGCACTACCCATAATCTGCCTTTAGACTAGGTTTCAAACAGGTTTAAAAAAAACCCCTGTAATCTATAGAGAAAACATTCACTATTGTTTACTTCAAAGAAAGAAACAGGCCATCAAGGTTTTTCTTCAATCACTAGCCGGCAACATTTGATGCTTATTGGGACAGTATTCATTTGTTACACTCTTTTTGGAATGATTAACGAATTGCTGACTAGACATCAAGTTTTCCCCCGGAATTTCAAATGTCACAAATCTTCAAGTTCTTTGATGTTTTTGGAACTTACCTGTGTCATCTTTTCTCTGTTGGCTTTGGGGTTGAGCGGGGCTTCGGTCAGCAGCACTGGGTGCTCCTCCGGCGCCACGCGCAGCTCGTTGTAGAAGGTGTGGTGCCAGATCTTCTCCATGTCGTCCCAGTTGGTCACGATGCCGTGCTCGATGGGGTACTTGAGGGTCAGGATGCCCCGCTTGCTCTGCGCCTCGTCGCCGATGTAGCTGTCCTTCTTGCCCATCCCCATCATCATTACCTTAATTCAATTTGAAATAAATGAATGTAAAGAGCCAAGAGTTGAAACAATGCTTTGAACCACAATATTTACATCAACGTACATTGTATTTTGAGCAACACCAACGGGGGATTCATTTTCTGTTTCTGGTGGGGGACAAGGGCGGATCCAGGGGGGCCAACGGGGGCCATGCCCCCCCCCCCCTCCAAAAAAGCTAGCAAACGAACCCATTTTTATAAGTGACGTCGCAATAAAGGCAGTCACTGCGTACACCATCATTTTATCCTTCGAAAAGTTGGTTGAAGGGGGTCAGAAATTGCCTCAGATCGCACCACACGGCATCTAGAATCCTACTTTTTTTTAGGGGCCCTTACGCGGGCCCTGAATCTACGTCGTAATTTTTTGGACTTTTCCGTCTTCACTTATTATTGTTTTGCAAGCAAAAAATGTTTTTGAAGAAAACATGCGTCGTAACAAAAAAGTGGTTTGTAAGCTCAAATTTACCAAACAAAGCGAACAAAATAATAAAGTAGCATACATATTGCCAAGGAGTGGGGTTAGTGATGGCGAGGAATTTGCTCCCTCCCGAAATTGTATTTCAAAGGAATGATAAAAAATAGTCTAAGCGGTACTCCCACACACAGCTAGCTGCGCAACTTAAAATCCATTTTTTAGCACAATTTGTTTTAACAGAGAAAAATTGATCTTTCAGGCCCTAAAACTCGGACTTACAACTGCGCAATTTTACACCCTGAAAATAATAAAATAAATTTAGAATTGTGTAATGGACCGATCTAGTAGGCTCCGCCCCGTGCGCACGTGGGCAAATTAACACGTGCTCCGCTCCATCCAATGCCACGCTGCATTTTCCTTCCGCGCGCATCATACGCGCGTGCACGCATGTCGGACTTTAGTGCACGCACGTCGGACATAAATCACGGCTGTGATTGGTCGGAACACCATGGGGCGGTGCTTACTAGATGGGTCCATTGCTAAGCTGTTGAAATACCTCATGGCGAGGCCTCCCAACCACTGCAGGGAAGACAGCACGTGGGGCATCATCACCGGCGAAGCCAGCCTTGCACATGCCCGAGCCGTTGTCGATCACAAGAGGGCAGACTTCATCTTCCTCGTGAAAAGACATGATGCTATGGGTTCTTCAAGGATCACGAACTAGAAATACACACCTGCAAACAAGAGACAAAATAATTACACTATTATTATAAGACGTATACTTAACCCGAAAAAAAGCAGGGTTATTTTGACCATCTCTCTGCTGGGAGTGGACCCTATGAGATCTCAGTCATGGAGTGAAGAAAAATTATGAAACTCGGTATATAGAACAACTCTTCATAAACATACCAAAGAAATTTCATGACTATAATGTCAAAGGGTTTGGGAATTTTGGCTAATTAATAATTCATATGCACGAATGTTAATTCTGCTCCGTGTACACTACGTATATTATGGGAAAATTCAGTTTTCACGGGAAATTTTTTGCTGCGCGGCAAACCGTCCGATTTTTATGTTTTTGGTGTCAAAAGATGCGCAAGGCTCCATGCTAAAAAGTCATAACAGCTCGTGTAGCGGGAAAAAAAAATATTTCGAGGCTATCGCGGACAAAGTTGTGGGGGGGGGGGGATTCCGCCCGGCCCCTTTAGGGTTAGCAAAGTGCATGATTTATAATGTTTAAACGACAATAGCAACAATCGCATTTTGTTTGGCTATTGAAGCCACGACCGTCGAAGTATTTTGTTTCAAGAAATAAAGCATGAGTAGGCCTATCCACAAAACTACTTCGAAAGCTTCTTAATTGATTTCATCGCATTTCTTTTCTATAAATCCAATTATCTCCAGCACTAAATTCAATTCAATTCAATTTAATTCAATTCAAGAAAACGTTCATTTTCACCGCACTTGTCCAGCACATTGAATACTACAATAAGACAGGTATGGAGGCATCCTGAAAAGCTGAAGCTTGCGGTGAATGTGTCCAACAAAACAAGACAAAACAACACACTCTAAAAAACCATTAGTCAGATTTGACCAGAAACCAGTTCCATTTGATTAGCCATTCATTTCAGGGTCAGTTGGGTGCAACTGAAAATCAGTCAATAGGACTACATTTTTCCAGTCAGTATTGAAAAAATAGTTTATATAATTGACTAAAATTGGAGTGAAATGGAACCACTTTTTCAAGTCATAGAATGAAACCTAGCATGTTTAACTAAATTTCTAGTCAATTCTCAATAACTATAGGAAAACCAGTCAATATTTTGACTAAGTTGTTTTTAGAGTGTGCACTGATTATAAGATTTAGTAGAATATAAACAAAGCATCGCAATTTGTCAGGACATGATTTATACGTTTGTTAACTTTGAACGCATAGACACATTGAAAAAAAGAAGAGTTTTACCGAGGAAAGTTGTCGAATAGCGCTTCAGCTAAGCTCTTGATGAACGTTGAAGTTGTATCGTGTAGAATATGCAGAAGTAGCTAGCTTGCAGCTCTTTTTCCGTTCTTCGGATCAGTTAGGATCGCAGGTGGTTTTCTGGCTTCAAGGGAGCAAGCCCACCCCTATATATACCCCTCGAAAAAGAACATTTGATACCAAATAAGGCGAAGATGGCCCGACCATTACTTCATATTTTTGAGATTGTGCCAATGTTTGTTTACATCCGATGACTAAGATGTATTATTCATGAGTAAGATGTATTATTCATGAGTTTAATGGAAGCCTCGTGCAGCAGGCAGGAGCTGATAACAAAACACAAAGCCATTATTTATATTGACACAAAGGTTTGGTGATGGCCTGGTTTATTTTGGGCGATGAGGCTGCGGTGTGCGCAGGCGCACAGATCCCAGGGGCCGCCTGATTTCAACCATCGCCAAATAAGGCAATAATTTTCTTCTCCTGGTCACTCCTGATTGGTCGGGGTTATAAAGCAACTAGATTTGAATGCATAAATTACAAAAACTATCACCCAGAAAACCGTTATCGATTTAAACCCATGCGTATACTGCACCACGTACAGGTGCTTGCAACGTAAACAAGTACAAGACTTAGACTCCCCATCCAGTCGTAGTGTTGGAACACTATATCATGTAAACTGGCGCGGCGTTGCATGATCATGCACATTTTGTGATTGACTGAACTAACAGACTGAAACAAAATTATGAGAAGGCGCTAATTACTTACATGGAAAATACAGTTGTTATTGTGCAGTAAGCAACATATGCCGCGGTCTCTACCTTATAATAATTGCCAATGCAAACAACAGGGCCGAAAACACGATAGTTTAATTCACCATTATAAAGTAGCCTGATTTCATTTTTCTTTAGGCTTTAATTATACTGCAGAAAGAAAAATCTGCCCCTCGCTAGTCCGTATTACGAACCAAATACATGTGCCATATTTCAGTTCAGTTAAACACTAATCTATTAATCAAAAGGTACGTTTTCCCCCACCTTCGAAACAGACAGCGGTAAAGAGAGCTCAACGGCTGATTAAACGTCTAAAGATCTAGGGCTATCCCGCTGTGTCCATATTTGGTAATGAATAGATTGAGCATGCGCACGGAGTGTAAACACTGAATGGTTGTGAGTCAGCGTGTATATAGCAAGGTCGTTGTCCGTACGTTGTGAATAGAAATACACTACAGTGTACATTTGTATGTGTTCTTAGTACACAGAGCCCAATTTGTGTTTTTCGATGTTTGATGCCTCATACTAAGTTAAATTATTGAGAAATGATACAAAAAACTTTGTTCATTTTTCCTTCTTCCTTAAAAAAGGCAGTGCTCATCATTTCTCGCGGCTAACGGATTATGACAAATTATGAATTTCTCCTGCAGTCAGCATGACCCTTGTTCACACTCACAGAAGGAGATAGGTCCAACTAATTTTTAGAATTATAAGCTCGTAATTCACTTATTTTGAAGTATTAATGTTTATCACTGTGGGCCTTTTCTGTTCGCTGTCTAGGCCTCCTTTTAGAACCAGTAAGATTATACTTAAGTTACAATGAAGCTTTCACTCGAAATTATAGCGTCTGTGACGCAGGCCCTATAGACAGAAGAAATAAATCCACCAAAAAATCATAAAATTTCCACAATGTCTTACTGATTCCAAAAGTAGGCCTACGTAAAGTCTATTTGGGATTCCACGTACACATCCTTGTAATAACATGTTATGCTGCACAGAAGTGACTGGATAGAAACGATGAAATCTGAAAGATCCAAAATGGCTGCCATTTTACCCTGAAATTGCTCGCATTCATTGTTTCCGGCTAGATATCATCAAGTAGTCTTGCCAAACCTCAATATTGATAATCTTCAAGTTCACAAAGTTCACAAAGTTGCTAATTGGCGCACAGTTACCCTAATTAAAATATATGGAAAGCCATGTGAACAATGATAACTTCATGATATTTAGCCCAGAATAAAAGGGGGAAAAGGAGGTGTCCGTCAATTGGGCTAAACTTAGGCAAAGGGTTGCCTGACGTCGATGGGGGACTTGAATAGGATCAAAGAAATCCCAAATGTACGTGTAAATAAAACATTTTGACGTATAATCATGATAATTATTAACAACCATAATCTCTTAGTTTTGGGGATTTCTTTGAACGTTCAAGACTCCCACGTTAAGGCAACCAGGCTTCTCCCAATGTTTAGGCCCATAAATAACTTTGTAAATTTTAAGCTCATCAATAATGAGGTTTGGCAAGACTATCTGATGATTTTTAGGGAAATGGTAAATGAGCGTAACTTTAGGGTATATGATTAGATCTTTCATATCCTCATAATGGGATATCTGACGTTGGTGGTAGCAAAAACACAGCTCTTTTTCCAATTGCTTTCGTCATATTGAGCATGCGCGCCTTATAAACGTGACGTAAACAGTAGAAAAGGACAAGTGTGTTGCTGCCACCAACGTCTCAAAAGTCTAAATACAGGCCTATCAAAATTGGAAATAAATATATTTCACGGAGGCTATTGACGATCCCGGGTACATACCTATGTTCCCCAATACCGATGTTCCCCGAAATTCCTACCAATATAAACCTAGAAAAGAGTTACGTAACAACTTTTATGTGAATAGCCCGATGCATCTTTCGCGCAGCTGTAAAAAACAAAGTAACTCTCCCACTGCGGAAATGAATGGCCAGATCTTATTGCCACAGAATACAATGCATTATGTTAAACGCAAAGAGAAGAGCACCCCCTGAAATAGCCTACTGGTTAAGCTGTCTGACTGCGGACCCAGGGTAAGGGGTTCGATTCCCCACGGTGTCATTTTTGGTTTTCAACGCACGCGTCTTTGTCATTTAATTTAAGAGTTTTAATATCCCATCGTCATTTACCAACAGCAGTTAGCTCGGTCGGTCGGTAAGCTGACTCACAAGTTAGGACTGTCTGCGAAGTCCAGGTTGGCATCTGCGTACAGGTACGGGGTTCTTTTGCTGACTCGGCAGCAAGGCTTAGGGTGCTACCTCGTTTCGTCCCTTTATGGTGCCTGACTTTCGAGTTACATGGATGGACAGGGAAGGAGGTGTGGTGTACCGAGTCCCAGAAGAGTTCTATATGGAAGTCGGTAAGGGGCTCATTGAGTTAGGGTCATAAGTCCGACTCCTGAAGAGTTGGCCATCGCCACATAACTTCTTTTTTTTTTGTCCGAAGACAATTGCAAAAATGATGAATTTGTTACATTGAGAGCTTGTACTGTAATCGTTCGAAAATACATTTACAAATTTCTCGAAAATACCAAAATAATGCATGTAATATAATACAAAATCAGAACAAAATAATCAAATCAACTCGTTGTGTACGAAAGAAAATATTTGTGCAGCCTGATTCACCTTTTTGTGAAACGTAATCATTGCAAATAAATAAGGATTTGGCCCCGACGACACAGAATGCCTAAAAAATTGTTAACTTTAGTAGGCCTACCCCAACAGGTTGCGTATATCAAAAAATGCGATAAAAATCGCATTTGGTATCCTAATTCTGCTCAACGACTGTGCTGTAAGCAGAATTGAGGCGGAAATCGGCGGCGATCTATAGGCCTATTTCCCACGTGATTGGAAAAACAACTTTCGAGTTGGGAGTTAATTTTGATACGGCTCGACAAACCGAATGCGACTGGCCACAGTCAATGCATCGGTTGGCTTAGGCAGACACGGATGCCGTACAGCTATCACCGAGTGATTTTGCTGGACTTTAGCGCTTGACCAAAGAAGTCCGAGGTCACTACAACCATTAGATGGTTAGCTATAGCAGTGAGCGACTGATTTTACTTCAAGTGGTTAGAGCATTCAGCTTTGTTTTGTTTCTAACACGTATACTAATGTTGGGTCATTCTTGTGAATTAAGAATTCTTAGATGTGATGAACATTGTACAATCTAAATCCGCTCGACCCTGAAAATTACTAACAATACATTGCAAAAAAAATGACATCTAAAAGGCTGCTTAGATCTTCACTTATAAAAAGAATCACAGTAAACAAAATGTTAGCGTCAAATTTGACTTGCTTTATTCAAACACCTGTGCAACATTTACTGCTTTCAATTACTAGAACGACTGGAAGTTTGTTTTGTAGAGGAGTAAGGCGCTATGGTCCTTTCCTCGCCTACCACCACTTTGACCCTGGCTCGAAACCCACCGTGGATGACATACGGGTTGGGCTTTCAGTCTCTAAGGGTTTACACTGGGATGTCATCCTGGGGAGGGGGAGGGGGTGACCTCCCAGTTACTCTAAACAGGGTTACTCAAATAATTTGGGGGTCAGGTTGGCGTAGCGATGCTCCCTCGCCTTCCTCCGCTGTGACCCGGGTTCGAATCCCTGCCTGATTCCGTGGGTTTTCCCCAGAAAATTAGACCACGCGCATCAAATATAACCTAATAGCGACAATAAGATTTTGCCTCTAAAGGGGGCTGTGACATTAGGGAGACAGTTATGTGTCTCCGTTATGACTGGTGTCTCCCTATTAATCGAAGAAATTACGAAGAAGTGTCTCCCTACTGGTACTTCTAGTGGAATAATACTTGTAATAATAATATTAATAATAATAAGAAGAATAAAATATTTATATAGCACAATATGAATCAAAGATTCCTCAAAGCGCTGAACAGTAGAACGAGAAACAATAACATGAAAAAAGAATAATCCCAATTTAAAACCCAACTTGGCTACAAACTTAGGCCGGACCAGCTGTTGTCTGAGCTGAATGATTAATCGTTAAAAACCCTGTAAAATACTGTAAACTCGTAAATACGGCATAAGAAAATATTCGAATTTAAGAAGTCGAACATTTTTGTTTGGTTTCGTTTGTAAGACTGAGAAGTAAAAATATACCACTTGAAAATGGGGAATTTGAGAACTTAACGAAACACCTAAACAATACTTGTAATATAAGTTCATGTACATTTTGCCAAACAAATGAATTACTTCAAACGATTGATTCACTCTTTCACCAGACATTTATAACGTTTTGAAGGAAACGAATTTCTTGCAAATCGGTACACACATTATGATTATTTGTACATATTTTGTAATGTTTTTAATATACAGTATGACCCCTTAAAAAGGTGTCCATCTGACTACATTTTAAATAACTACCTAACATTGAAGGCAATCTTGAAAAGTTTAATTGTGCAAATTATCCTTATCCTTGGCCTAAAACCCTATGAGTTTCATTTAATTTCAGTCACGCATACTACACAATTGTCAAATGATCACAACAACTTTTTGGACACTGTGACCAAGTTCCTTGCCTTAATCAATTTTAGTGTTGCGTCATGTAGATTGAAGCTGTGTAAATATATTTTTCAAAATACCTATGCAACAATGCATGAACAGATAATATCTTAATCCGTGATACATCATGAGGAGAAATCAAATGAAAAATTGGAACTGGTACTCAGCCCCGTATGTTTGTGCACAAATTGCCCGGTTTGTTTGTCATCCAGACCCAAGATGCATTGCGAATATAGGCGGTATGAGTTTTGAAGTGCGCCATCTATTGGCGAACCCGCATTATTAAAAATGAACTTCAGCTTTTATTAGGAGAGTAAAAGGATCCTAACTTTTACATTTAATGTGACCACCATAACAAGGCTTTCATTCATTTTGTTGTAGGTATTTATCGTATGGACAAAGTTGAGGTGAGGAGTGAACCGTGTTACTTTTTGAGAATCAATTTTCTGGTTCCTGCATTGTGTGCAGGGTGACCACATCATTCTCAGGATCGACTTTACCCCTACCACGACAGATCAAACGGTACATGCTGACGCGGAACTCTCGGATACGCCACCAGTAGATGAATGGGTTAATGAGAGAGTTGAACATCAGTATGGTGGCAACAAGACGGGACAAAATCGAGAGGTTTCGGGGCCCAACGGACATGCGCATGCTCTTGCCACTGAAGTAAACCATGAAGTTGACGATGCAGTACGGGATCCAGCATGCGAAGCACGTGACTAAGATGATGGTGAAAGTGATCATCAAGTGGCGCGTCTGGCGGAGGCGCGTACGGGCCACGGCGTCGTCGGCCCGGGCACCTTCGGTGGATGCGAGCGGTGGAGTGTACCGGGACATTTTTCGAAACACGGCGCAGTAAAAGACAGCGGTGATGAGCAATATGCCCAGCGTGGTTGATGACTGCAGCATCCGGGCCAACAGCTTGGAGTGGAGCAGGGTGGGGACAAGGATGGCGGCAGAGATGATCCAAATCAACACGCAAGCTGCCAGCATGCGACCACGTGTCACCATGGCGTCATAGCGAGCTGGGGGCGTGATGGTCAGAGCTAGAAAGCGATTCACGGCAATCGCTAGGATGCTCAGCTTCACGGCACACAGGGACGTGCTATACAACGGCCTCAGCTTGGGAAGGTTGGCATTGATCAGAATTAGTATGGAGGCCGGAGCCACAATGTCGCCCAGAACGAGGTTGAAGGCGAAGGCATAGTACTTGACGCGGAGCTTCTTGGTAGCTGCGAATATCACCACAGCAAGGACGTTACTGACTACGGCTGCGCTGCAGACTACCAGCAAAGCAGTGTTGAGAGCTTGCAAAGTGTCAACCATGTTGGAGGCTAGTAATCTATGGGCATACACACCAAAAAAAAAAAGAAGAAACAACCGAGATTTTCTGAATTCTGAGATTTTTGGATATTCTAACATTTTATGATGTCCTCTACATGATTACCAAATTTCGAGACACAACATTCCATCGTTTGATAATTACGCAAATTGCACAAAGTGTTGAAAGTGCAACACACTAAGTTTTTCGTTTGGACGAAGTGACGAATCTCTTTGTGTCACTTAGTCTCATTGATTTTACACGTTGCTATATTTAGAAACATGAAGCCTCCACGATTTGCGTTTTTTACGAAGTGTCGCTAGGCGTTCTAAAATGTAAACATTTTAAATACGTGTAAAAACATATGCCTCATTTTTGCGAATAAAAAGATTTTCCGTTTTGACGAAGTGACGGATATCTTTAGTAGTTAATATTTCCTAATTGAACACGATTTTATGAACAGAGATAATAGTTTTTGTTTATCTAACTCCTGGGCTATTGTCTTAGTTATATATTTTTCAATTCTGGTGGACAAATGTACCCAAAAATGCAATTTGAAAAATCCACCATTTCAATAGCAATTTTCTCAAAACTCGGTTTTGCATCTGTGTGTGCAGATGCGTCACTTCAACGAAACGGTGACGCTGTGTGCATTCAAACACACGGTACACGTTGTATGTGTGTGTAACATAAAGTACACAACACGGATTGGCATGGCCTAGACAAATGTTGCTTCTTGCACGTCCGCGTAATGCGATGCACTGGTTCTCACAAGAATAACACAAAACACCGAGTACTACTTCGAGAAATTGACCAATCGCGGGCGCCTTCTTTAAACATCACGTCCACGATGAGTAGCATTTTTGTACAGGTTGTTGTATTGCAAAAACGTACCATCGACATGGATCAAACTGAATCTTAGTCCTGATTTTGGGATGAAATGACGTCGTGCATGCTCAGATATATCATATCAGACGTTCTCAACCGGAGACGAGGTATGTGGAGAACGGGTGATACTCAGACTAGGGGCACCCTTCCTTATAGCCCAATGAAATGACGTCATCGTGTTATACCCCGGTCACCGTACAATAAAATAAGATATTCAGTGTCCCATGTTCCCTACATATGATCTTTGTTTCTACTTACGATTTCCGTGAAAGGACGGAAGCTCTGTTAATAGCAGAACACTCAGTAAACGATGGAGAGTTTCCCTCGTTGATCGCTGACGACTGACAATTGCGGAGCTCTGTAAACAAGCGTCTGCCTTTCGACTCGTTATGAAATGCCTTTGTAGACTGCTGAGCGCGGAAAACCGACGATTTACATAAAATGCTAAAACTTTATTCACGCTTGTATTATTACTCAACATTAAAACATTATTACCATGTACTTTCTTGATCAGAATGAGCTTTATGGTGCCTGATCACGCAAGATGCAAGGCCACAGCACTTTTTGGGTATATTAAATATGCAACAGCCGTATGTATTTGCATTCATTGACAAAGATATTGAGACAGAATGACAAACGCTTGAATCGCCATAGAGGGCATGCAGGAGAAAGCATCGTAGATTTCAGAATGTTCCCGCTGGGCATACATACTCCGAACCCCCATAGCAGGGCGTGCATTACTTTGCCATGCTTTTACCGACGGATCCTACACACAGGATGCGTGATCCCGTTCAGTGCATTTTGTATTAGAGCTCAGAATGTCCACATAAACCAAGTTTCAGATACGTTATGTGGACCCCTATTGTCCATAATCATCATTCCCTTGTTTGTACTTGAACTTTTGGCAACAGTTCCCATTGGTTTTGTAAACACGATTATCGGTCAATTGTGGACGTATTGTTTGTGCCCTAACCATTTTGTTCTTGGTCCACGATTGCCGGTGTTTACACATGCAATGTTTCCCCTGTCTAAAAAAACAGATTCTGAGGTATTTATTGGTTATGTTTATTAGTCGCAAAATGAAGAGAAATACACAAGGGAATCATAGTTTTATGGGTTAAAAGAGTTTTCACAGCGAAAGTAAAATGATTTTTTTTCACGGGTTTTTCCTAAATACACAAAAACATACAAAGGAATTTTCTCACTATGTAACGTAAATACGTTGTTCACGCATCCTTGCGTGTAGGATCTGTGTTTCACCCAACTCCCTTCATATCAACCCCCCCCCGTTTCCTTTAAACTAGCTCCGCCCTCGTGTAGTAGAAACGAAACGAGGGAGCAGAGAGAGAGAGAAAATGCTATAGACCACCATGGTGCTGCCACCATTTCAGTCATGTTCCCTGTATCCAATAACAGTACTGAATGAAACTGTTTATTATGCAATAAGGAACCAGACTATTGTCCTTTCCAGTCTCGCTTTGGTTACATTGATTTGAATGGGAAAACAAACCAAGATGGCCGCAACATGATAATGGTCTATAGCAGAGATTACACATGCATTGTGATATGAACAGCGTATGTGTAGCGGCCATCCGTATCTTACTAGGCAGGAAGTACACTAACCTGTACGTTCATTGTGATTAGACATTTCCAGGGAGCGGTTGCTGATGAATTTGCATAACAGCGATCAAACCATGCAAGTCCGCCACAGTGACGCCCCCTGCCATATGTTAACAGTCAGACTCAGAATGATCAATTTTATGACAAACCTATAAAATATTGTACTATCGGGCCCTGCAGCGTCGTTTGCATTATGAACAGTTACACTACGCATTGCCGGTCTACTGTACATTCATGCACACAAAACTGATGCAAAAACAAAATGATTGTATTTTGGTTAGGATACAGAAATTGAATTGCTTTGGAACTGCTCCTAGAGTCAAAATTTTGAAAACGACTCTATTGTAATTAATGTTGATAGAATAACATCATGTTCATCATAACTTTAAGAACAATCTTGTTTTTATTGAGCCTGCCAGGATATGGGTGGTTGTATATGTATAGTACATGATGTGGTGGTCGGTGTGGTGCGCCGCCCCGTAGACGATGGGCCGGTGAATTTGGTTGGGATGACGCAACGGTTAATGTCATGGGTACTTGGCAGACCGGAACAATGTATACTTTTAACAGCGTCACCTGCACAAAAGTATAGGGGCGATTCTTATTTCCACTCAAGCTCAACCGCAGTCTCCACCCTTGGCTGCGGCTCAGCTAAGGGGGAGGGGAGCGGATAACAAAAACAAAATTAAACAAAAAATCGGGGTACCCCCTGTTGCCCCTCCCCTGGAAATTTGGCCATCGAAAAAAAGTTACGCGAAACCATGATTAGCTGGTTTATACTAATTTTGCCTTTTTTGCATTTAATATTTTTTTTTGCGGAAATCCTGTTTTTCTCGTGATTGGCTGTATATTTTAACGTCCCGTGTAACCACGAAACCAATTTTGAGTAAGGATGGGGTATGACATCAAAACAATGTTTAATATGTTAGTACCATTTTCCAAATTCACACTTTAGGTTTTATTATCACCACGCAACCGTTTGGAAGAAATCTTATTTTCTTTTTATTGAGTGCTCAACCCGACAACTGTTGGGAATACCTTGTTCGGATTAATGTTTAAAGTTTTTTTTTTCAAAAATCGATTGTAATTTGATACCTGATGGTTTCATCATAAACGTCAGAGTAATACGCACCGCTCGGGATGAGAGTCGATATGTTGAAAGTTACACCATAAACCGTCTAGGAGAAAAGCCGCACAGAGGTGAGGCAATCAATGGCTTTAAATGGGAGTTATAGCTACCGGTCCCAATATTTGAGGGGGGGGGGGCAGTACTACCGAAGTGGGCGCCCTTTAATATTACACGGTCCTGGGTTCCGTCACAAATGTTTATAATTCTATGGGTTCGTTTACCAAGTCAGGTTCTTGGATTGGAACAGAACGCCCTCTATCGGGACAACATCCGGCGGGCATGCTGCTGCGCGGTGCAAGGCCTTACTGTATAAAGTAAATTACCCCGCTAAGAACGTCCTTGGACCAAGACTATTGAATGGGCCACAGAACTCTATTAAGAGAACATAAATAAGGACATTTTATCGTGCCGGAATAGGCAATTTTGTGTTCATTTACTGGCTATGTACGTTACCATGACTACAGAAATGTTCTTTAAAGCGATTTGCGCCGCTTGGTCCGGAGAATCCGGCAAGAAAACACGGGGCAAAGGGCGTTAATTCTGAGGGGGGGGGGGAGTAGGGGATATTTCCCCCATGCTTGACTAGGAGGGATGGGCCATTGGATCATCTCCAAGGATTAGGTAAGAAATAGTTATTGCAGCCATTTCAAAAGAACGAGCTAGTAAAAATATGCCAGTAATTAATAAATAGTACCACTCATCTTGCAATTTGATTTATATGGCTGTATGAACAGCGCCACCTAGTGTCGAATAGTGTTCCCCCTCGTCCCTTAAATTTGCAACGTCCGGCCGTCTGGGTAATGTCAGGATTTAGAGGGCGTCATTTTCCATCGTTGACACGGATTTACGCCACTGATAGAGGTGGTGTGTGTGTGTGTGTGGGGGGCGGGGGGGGGGGGCTCAGTCAGTGCATCAGTAGGCTTAGGCAGACACGGATGCCGTGCAGCTATCACCAAGTGATGTTGTTGGACTTTTGCGCTTGACCAAAGAAGTCTGAGGTCACTACAACCATTAGATGGTTATGTACAGCAGTGAGCGAGTGATTTTATACAAAGTGGGTTAGAGCATTCAGCTTTGTTTTGTTTCAGATGCATAATAATGTTTGGACATTCTTGTGAATTAAGAATTCTTACATGTGATGAACATTGTACAATCTAAATCCGCTCGACCCTGAAAATTACTAACAATACATTTAAAAATTGTCATCTAAAAAGGCTGCTTAGATCTTCACTAATAAAAAGAATCGCAGTAAACAAAATTTTAGCGTCAAATATGACTGGCTTTATTCAATCACCTGTGCAACATTTACTGCTTTCAATTACTAGAACGACTGGAAGTTTATTTTGCAGAGGAGTAAGGCGCTATGGTCCTTTCCTCGCCTACCACCACTTTGACCCGGGCTCGAATCCCACCGTGGATGACATACGGGTTGGGCTTTCAGTCTCTAACGGTTTACCCTGGGATGTCATTCTGGGGAGGGGGAGGGGGTGGCCTCCCAGTTACTCTAAACAGGGTTACCCAAATAATTTGGGGAGTCAGGTTGGCGTAGCGGTGCTTCCCTCGCATTCCACCGCTGTGACCCGGGTTCGA